CTTATTCTTGCTTAAGGGTTCATTAGGCGAAACCTTTAAAGTGGTATCACGGCTGATAGTGTGGTAGTGGGGTGTGGTTCTTTTCCTGTTTTGATTCACTTGTAAACTAAAAACAAACATAAAAAATGATTCAAACAGAAACATAAAATTGCCATCATGCAGTGGGGATTAGGTGTGGGGCCTAGATGAAAGTGTACAACATAACAGTCCCCTTGTTGCCTATCAGTACCTGCAAGTGGTAAGTAGATCTGTGCCTTTTACTTTATAGAACCACAGTAAGGGAAGAATTGTGGCTTCATTGTGCACATCGCTGAGGGTTTCAAGTCTCACATGTCAAATAAAGGTTGTATTGAGAGGTAAAAGGCGGGCCTAAAATGGAAAAAAAAGCAACTGATGTCTGATATAAATAAAAAATAATTTGAGATACTATATAGTAACCCATGATTTTGTTTCTGTTCTGTCAATGAATATCAGTATGAAAACTGATATTCAACTGATATTCAGGCAAGTTGATTAAAAACTGGTGTTTTCAGCTCCTTTGGATTTTGTCATGCCCATCCTTAATTCCCTGTTTCATGATCTTCTTTGATGCCTTGAAATAGTATTTTGTGATTAATATCTTATTTGGCACCCTGGATATAAAAAATATACAGTTAAAATATTTTGTTGGACAGAACAACATGAAAAGTTATTATCCTAAACATTATGCATTTTCACAACCATCAGTTTCATCCAGAAATTACATTTTATTTTAAAAAGTTTGAATACTAAAGAACATTTGCTTTTGTATTATTTCAAAACCAAATCAGTAATGGGTTTTAAGGCCTTAGGGTGACTTCATAGAGGGTAACCAAGTCACTGAACTATGAGGAAGGAGTGCTTTGAAAGGTTTTGAAAAAGCTTTAAACTAGTTTGAGCTCCTTCTTACTGCCTGATCTGTTTGGTGCCTTTGCTTTATCTCAGGCGTTAATCTACTGTAACCCTAAATGCTGTTTCAGAGGTAAATAGGCAGTGCCAGGAGCCTTAAATGCGCTGTCAAGTTAAAATCTAACTTCCGATATAAATTAATAGAGGAAGTTCTGAATGTGGGTGGAGATGTGATGCATGCTCTGTTTTATAGGCAATGTTTGTGATTGTTTGAACTGCTAAACATATGAACATACCAGATAATTGTCTTCCTTGCTCTTGAAAATGTTTTTAGGCTTTTTTTATTTTAGCCATTACTCCCTAAAATCTTTTGCCAGGAAAAAAATAAATCTACGGTGTTAAAAATCTACATGTGCTAAGTAGCTGAATGTATGTTAATACAACTATGTTTTCCGGCAAAAAACTGGGCATAATGGTTAAGTTACATCAACATTTTACCCTAACAGACCTATAATCATAATTAATCAAACTTGGGGGAAATGTATGCATGTGTAGTGCTTGTGAATAACTTGATTTGATTTACAATGAGAAGAATACAATCACTACTGTTATTAGAATACACACTACTATGGCTACTAAAAAGAAAATAGAACAGAAAAGGTGTATAATGACCTGAAATTGGGGTTTAATGCACCTTGCAACCTGTGCTTTTGGGTAAGGCTTTGGGTTTCCATGACCATTAGGAGTTAGGAATAATATATCTTTATAAGCAGATGTAAAAAAAATGACACGTTACATAATATGTAATTATTATGTGAAATTGAAAGAATATTCATAGTGACGTGAGACAGGAAATATCCAATAATATTTCTTCATAACTTCAGCAGTGTACAAAAAGAAGATTTCTCCTTGCACACTAATTTTACAGACTCTTCCTACGAGAACATCCAAATAAGGGGCATCAGGCAGTGTTTTTTAAAATAAATGTTTTGCACAGCTTGAAGTCTTGGAGTTCTTCTGTTTGAGCAAGCTTGAACAAAGTCTGACAAAGCTGTGTTGAAATTAAGTTAGCTCTATGTTTTATTGTATTACTTGTTCATGCTATTAGCTGTGAACGTGAATGCCTATCAGAGCTGGTTAAAAAGGTACTTTTTTAATTAATTTGATAGATTAATGCACTTTTATTAAATCTCCTTTGAATTGCTTATTATTCCAAATGCAGAAAGAACAATAACTGTATTTAACTGTATAGACTATATGCAGAACAGCTGCTGAACTTTGAATGCTGGGAACTGTTTAGCTCTTTCTTGGCAGTTACTTGGAGTGGTCACAGTTGCAAAAAATATTTACAGTCCTAAATTCCCCAATATTTAAGAACGTGATGCTTTTGATTTTCTTTTAATTGTCTGCATGTAAGGATGCACATATACATTTACATTATATTACATTTTGGGTCGAAAGACAGTTATGAGTCCAAAACCATGAAGCGCAAATGGTTTTGCTTCATGGAATAAAAAAATAAATGCAGTATTATCTTTTGGGGTGGCACCATGGAGCAGTGGCTAACATCACTGCCCCACAGCACCGGGGACCTGGACTTTTCAGTTCTAGACTTTGGGATATTATCTGTGTAGAGTTTGTGTTCTCACAGTCCAAAAACTGGTAGGTTAATTGGCTTCTGGGAAAACTGATCCTGGTGTGAGGGTGTGCCCTGCAATGGGTGTACTCTGCCTTGTACCCGTTGCTTTTTGGGATAGGCTGAGGCACTCCTACTACCCTATATTAAAGCAGTTAGAAAATTGCTTTAGTAGTAAAATAAAATAGTTAGATGTTATCCATTGACTTATAAATACAACATTTGACATGCTGCATTATATTGAAAGTTCTGTAAATTTATTTTTAGGGCAAGAGTTGATTATAATTTCATGCAATTCCCAACCAGTTCAGTTTTGAACCCCTCACTGAGAAGTTTCATACAGTGCTAATTACTGTACATTAACCTTTGACCCCTGTTGCCTCCCATGCAGTGCTGTGAGGAACATGCCTGTCAATTGGTAAGGGGGTGTGTTGGCTCTAATGTGTTAAAAGATGAGTTACTGAAGACGGATGAGACAGAAGACTTTGCGTGTGGCCATAGGGATCATAGTTGCAAGCCTACATGTGAATTATGTGTGATTGACTGTTCCAGATCAGGATAACTGGCAATTTTAAAATTATTTTAAAAAATGTTTTATTGAGCTGCAGCAAAGATTTTTCAATTGCTTTTATATAATGAATCATAATGTAAGTAAATCTTTTAAGTAAAACTCAAAAGATCACACTAAACACTTTTATTGATTTTATAGACTTGTATTGACCCTTGAAGATGAGAGTTAATCAGCAACAGCTTGTTACTGATGGGTGTCCAAAATATTTTAATGCTTATGGCCGACAGGTACTGTGTAAGAGCCGGCGTACCAGAGCAGGTGACGTCACCGCCCTTCCCAGTAATAGCAGGACCACAGCCCCTGGGCTGTGGAGAGATCTCTCTTTGGCTCACTGGGCTGGGTCCCTGTTGAGTGACGCGGGAGTCCCGGGTTCGAGCCCCCGACGGTGGGGGGCCGACCTAATGTGGCAAGGGCACCCGCCTGAGCCCCTGTTGCGTTACAATACTATATAATATAAAGCTGTACCTCCTTTTCACCACTAAAATGTTTCCTTTCAGGTTATATCTTTGAAATAAACAAGTTCTCAAAAGTATTGAGTATTAAAATGTGTTTATTTATACTGTAAGTGGACCAGCTTAAGATTCCCAGGCCTTCTCCTGTACCTTCTCCATTCTTTTGCTAGAGGTCTTCCAATAGCAGTCCTATACAAGAAAGCTCCACTCCGACTCTGCTGTTATTTCACTCCCTTGCATTTCCTGTTCTTATTTTGGTTTGGCCAGTCACTCATCAGCAAAGGGTTGTGGATCTGTGACATGGCAGCATTCCAGGAGAGAGAGAGAAAAACTGAGGCTGAAATTGGGCCCATGTTTCTCTGGTTTAGGGCAGTTTGGCAGAAAACTTTTAAAACTTGTTTTCCAGGACATTCTGTGTCTGGCGATGTTATACAGTATTTTCTCCATCTTTTTTGCAGTTCATAGTAATAAGAGTTCCTTAAATGTATTTCACACCACTAGAATTGGTTGCTTTTGTCTGGGCCAATTTTACATCTGGTTAACATTAGCAAAGAAAGTATGAACACTTTAAATGTTTCTAACCTTAAACATTAGGAAAATGTTTCATCCAGTAGACCGTTGATTTAGGACTTCAAAATATTTTATCAAGACTGATCATTAGATTAGGTCTATCATTAATTTCAGTAGTCTTCTTGTGTATTAGTACTAGATCATAGGGACTTCTGTTTTGAATCATTCCTATGCATTTTTAACAATAAAAAAATTGATTTCATGGTTGACAACATTCATAACAGTACTGTCTTTTTATATAACCAGCACTACTTCTGACATTGCACAGCACTCTGCTGTGTGCTTGAAAAGTTAAATTAGTGGTTAGCTTGATACAAAAATCCATCGGCGTCACCTGCACACCTGTACCATACATATGCATATTTACCGACTCCAAAGCAACTTCCTCTTAGTCATTGCTGTGTTGTTGCTTGATTGCCTTAATAGAGACATTCTTAAGTTTCCCATTTCCCGCAAAAGGTGTGAAAGATATTATCAAGACGTGAAGCAGATCAAATGACAAAAGATGAGTCCAGACATGCGACTGCTGTTATTCATCACGACCGGAATAGAACTGGAGTCACTCACAGGGCGCTGGGGCCCAAAAAAACATAAGAAAAGCTACTTTTAGCTTCCACTGATCCTAAACCTGCTGACCTGCAGAATAAGAGGAGAAAGATTAAACGGTGTTAAGTGCTGCTGAAAGGGAATGTCATCATGAAAACGATAAATACATCAAACCAAGTAAACCTTAGAACCATGTGTTCACTTACAGCAACCCTGGGGTTTTGAGAAGTGAGCATTTGTTTTAGGTACAGCATTGGATGACCTTGTCAAATTGTTCCCTTAATTCTCCAGGTATTAAGTTGTGAAGATGGGAAAGGCAATAACATTAATTTGTCTGTCATTTGTTTTAATGCCACAGGTGTTCAAGCTCAAGCCACCTCCTCAAAGAAGCCTCGAAGTCGAGGAATTTTCCACAGTCTGTTCTGCTGCTTCTGTCATGACGAGACTGATCAAGTTCCTGTCAACAACAATGCTCCCCTCTTAGTGGAGGAAAATGGAACAGTCTCAAAAGTAAGTTTCTTACAAAGGCCACTGGCAGTCTGTTTAAATGATGAATTATATTTGCCTAATCAAAAATGAAACGGGAAGTGTATTTAATTTCTCTTCTGTATTTTGTTCTTAAATGATCAATTTATTATGATTTTTTGGGACATCAAAAATGTCGTTTTCTAGTTTAGTTTTGTGCCATAAAGTAAAATAATCTGGATTCCTTTTTTATATGAAATGCACTGTCATGTGCAGAGGATAAGTAACAACTTAGTTGTTAGTACTGTAAATGTTGTTAGTAGCAACTAACAACAAAGTCCCCTTTTCCAACACGTTTTCTATCGATAGTCAGAACTGCACACAGTTTTTATTTCTGTATAATTAATGGAAAAGTTTGAGACTACAAGAAAGCTTACAAACGAGAGAAGGACACTTGTTTCATCCTGCTAATTTGGGTACTTGTTGCATGTTGATCCAATGTGTCAGCTGACAAAAGATTAAATGTTTGGTTATTCCAGTTCCAGGTGTGCGGTTCTTAGCCCTTTGAAAGTTGATTCTGGTTGTCTGTCACTTAACATTTGTCTGTCATGTTGTAAATGAAAATTATCAATGCCATTGTTTGGAATTTTAAAACTCATTGAACATAGAGATGATAGCTTGCAACTTTGGCAAAGGTGGTGTTTTCCTAGAAGCGCCTTCAATGAAATACATTGCAAAATTATTCACTCCCCTCCAATGATGCTCCATTTTGTTGTTGTTGGTTACATAATTTGAAACTTTGTAAATACTTGTTACAATCAATGCTTTTTATTTTTTGGTATCCCTTTGCAGTTTTGGTTGCTATTTATTTTTTTATCCATGCAAGTCCTCAGTTTAAGCAATCAGATTTTGATTTATAATGTTCACTATAAAAAAAGAGAAATGTGTGTAAATCATTGAATGGGGTTGCATACTTTCTCAAGACACTGTATATATTAAACTCAAAACATAAAGGTACTATTACGATGTCTGAACTACCAGACACTTCATGGTGTCAAATTCAGATTCACAGCTTACTACGGCTTTTAATAGTGATTTGATATTTTAGGAGTTATTTACAACATCTGATACACAAAAATAAATAAGCTTGGTCTCCTTAAGGAGAAGAGCTTAAACTCTTTCAAACTCTACTCTAGTTATTTTGCTATAGCCATGGCATTGTGTTCTCTTCTTGATATTGTTTCTGCATGCCATGGGAATGGGATTCCTCTAGAGCAGCAACAGGTATTTACCTATTTTTCAAAGGAAATGCGGCTGTAAAAGTATTTGGTTATACAATTTACGAAAATAGTAAAATGAGGTATTTGCTTTATGGGCTAATTGCATGTGGTGGTGTAGATGAAGTTTGCAAAACTGAAAATGGACTATAGCTCTTTTTTCATTTGTTTTTGGCACATTTTTAATTTAATCATTTTTGTTTTCCATTTTACACCATTTAACTTCAAGAGAAATAAATGTTCTTTAGCTGTAGAAGAGTTATACTGTATTTAAGTCCTGAAGCTATTTTTAATTTTTTCAGCTGGTTGTAACAAAATCTTTAGAATTGGGGTCTCTGCGGGACGTCTACGTGAAATTAACATTTTATCCTGAGCAGTGAACTATTTCTTTTTTGTTGAGATTGTCGAATAAGAGCATGCACGTTTTATAAGATGCACACTACATCTTTTACGGTTCTTGTGTTTGAGTAGTAGGTGTTGGGGAAAAGATTGGCCTCTTCTGCAAAGAAATATAATCCCAGCCTGCATTTTGTGGTCACATGTTCTCGTCATAACTCTGGAATGCTAGCACTGTGAACAGGAGCTCCTTCCTGCCCTCTTGTGGTTAAAAAGATTTCTGCAAAAAGCTTTTAAATTCAAATTGAGAATTTTAACCCTTTTTCTGCATGGTGACCTTAGACGTAAGAAGTACCTTGCATAAACATTAATATATATTGTTTGCTAATAACACTATTGTTATACTCTTTTTACAGCAACCTGCACAGAACTTAAATTAAAACTTTGTAATGAATTTGAGCATTTTTCCAATGGTACTACTAATTTTAAATGCAGCTACAATAGTACCTTATATAACAGGAAATGATTTTAATTTGTTTCCAAAGAAGAATAGAATTATCAAACCTATTTTACCACTTTTACATTTAAAATGATCTTACAAAGACTCTTTACTTATTTGCTTTATTATTGTGCAGTTCAGTTAGACTGTTTGTATTCCATTTTTATTATCTATAAATTCATGACCCAGAGTAGAAAATCAAAATTTTAATTGATAAATGTAAACATTTGTAACTTAATGGTCTGAGGTCAGTATAGTATATTCTTTTTAAAATAAACATTTCTAAGCATTCATTGAAACACCCTGCAATCTTCACATATCCATCATTTTAATCATTCTAATGTTATTGAATTTAAACATTAAATATTTGTCCTTGCTTTTATTTGTGTGACTAAGACTTATACATATGTTTTTTGTGTAATATTTGAACAAGTAGTTTATCCATAAGTCAGGAGGGGAGTAAATTATTTGTTTCTTTTTTTCTTTTCTGCTTGTTTAACTTATCTTTGCAGGTCCCAGTAAAGCCTCTACTTCCACAAATAAAGTCTAAAGATGTTGGAAAGATCTGTGTGGTAATTGACCTGGATGAAACACTAGTGCACAGTTCATTCAAGGTAAGAAATGAGTGAAACTACTTTCTCTTAATATTTTTTTCTTTTAACTCTTTGATTTTTCTTAATTTTCAAAATGTCTTTATTTTAAGAAGAAACAAACACATCTAATGTAATCTTAAGCCTTCATGCTATAAACCTATTCTTTAGTTTTGGACAAGTTCCCAGGTTATGGAAAGCTCAGGGATGCTTGTTAGGATTTTAATGCCAGACCTTGAGTTGCTCAGGGAGTGCCCTTATTCTGAAGCCATATGCATTTAGAGGTTGTCACACGTCTTTAAACCTGCTTCCCCAGATCACCTGTCTTCTCGAAAGCAATTTTGAAATAGTTCAAATCTTACTACATAATATGAGTATAAGCTACATAAAGTAAACCCATAGCAAACAATTAACAAATAATTGTGTGGTGGTGGAGGGGAGTTCCCATTACCTGTAAAGGGCTTTGAGTGGAGTGTCCAGAAAAGCTCTATATAAGTGTAAGCAATTATTATTATTATTATTATTATTATTATTATTATTATTATTATTATTAAATAAGGAAAACACTCTCTTAAATGCTGTGTGTTTAGCAGCAAAATTCAAGAATGTGTAGATATGGAAGCTGCACAATTAAATTAATACGTTTTACAGCCTGGGATTATATAACTACCATTTCAAGTAAAGTATCATGCTAAGCAATATTTGATTAATGTGTTTATTCCAAATGGTTACAGTTTCATTAGTGTTCATTACCACTTTCTAAACAAGGCATTCTTACTTAGGTATTATACAGTATGTGAGTAGTGGATCAGTAAGGGTGTTTTAAATGGTCCGTCCCCAGATGGACTTTAAACTGGTTAAATAGTTCATTCCATGGTTGTTCCATAGTTGCTTTAACAACTGCCAGCAAATAACCTATTATTGAACTAATTTGTTCTGCTTAGTTGCATAGGTTTTTAGATATATTTTACACATTGTTAACTTGTCACACAATGCGCACTGTGCTTTTTATGGTGATCTAGCCTTTAATTGCTGCAGCTTTGTCCTGAAGTCCAGTGCCTTGCAAAAGTATTCACCCTTTTCAGTGATGTCATATTTTGCCTATATACAAAAGATGTATACAGTATACATTTCATGAACATTGTAATCAAAACTTAAAGGGGAACTGCAATGCTATTTTTATATTTCAAGGTTAGGAATAATCAGAATTAATGAATGAAATACATTTCAAACCACAATGAAACTAAAATGTACACAGTAAAGTGTAAAACCTCCAGTTTACATCACAAAATTGTTGCAATTTCCATACATGCCCAGGGTCATATTGCTGCCCTTGTCTGCAATTCAGAAAGAGGCAACAAAACGTTGGATGAGGTGAAGAGGCCCCATTACTTTGTAAACAAGCAGGCTTGTGATTACATCTCTTTTGATCCAGATATTGCTTTCAACCTCCAGACGGTTTTGTCAACAAATACTGCTTACTTGTTAACTCTGCAGATCCCGTAGCAACATTTCTGCGATGAAATGTCTGCTGCACAACCTGTACTTATTCTCTCGTACTTCACACTCCGTTAGTCATTACAGTAATTCGTGAGCAGTAAGGGCCGCATCAAATCGAAGTTTGCGCAAACTTGCGCTCTTGTCCATTTCAGGACCAATTTTGAGCTTAATTCGGAATTTGTAAAGTTTTTGTATTTCTCCAATGAATTTATTTTGTATTCGAGATTAAATAACTAGTCAGAGAAATTGACTGCAGTTCCCCTTTAAATGCTAAGCCTTTTATATTGTTCTCCTGAGGTGTGCCTTGCTGTGCCTTTATCCTAATGTTTTTCAGTCTTCTGGTTGAATCTTAGCTTGACATTCACTAATTGACCTTATTGCAACTTTTGAGCCTGTATTGAGACATGGAGACTTCTCAAATTCTGAAATCTTGCGAACCGCTATTGTTGCTCACATAGGTCAATCATCTAATTGGGAGAGTTGTCGAAGTGGGTGAATAATTACAATCAGAACATTTTTGATTGCTTTGCTGTTTTCCTTAAAATTTAAACGCTTTCAACAATAAAATAATTCAGTCTGAGCCATCAAGTTCTGATTCAAAATATTCACTGTAAAAATCTGTATCACTTGCAATTAATTAAAATTAGATCTTTAAAAGGGGGTGAATACTTTCTTAAGACTTTGCATATGATTATATCATGAAACTGCATTCTGTGACATTTTCAGCAAATAAGAGCTTTAGATTTCTCAGGAGGTCTCTATAATTATACTGTTATAGAACAGAGGGAGGTTACGAAATGGAGAATGGAAAACAAATCAAAATAATACCTGAGCGGCAGATATAATTTGAAGTGTGAGTTCTTTATTATTTGGCACTGTAATAAAAACAGTCAAACTTGTCAAGACAAGTATTTACTTGCAAAACACAATAACAAAACTAGACAACACTGAGCAAAAACACTAAGGATCTGCGCCTGTGGCTGGAAGGTTGCCGGTTCATATCCCGTGGCCGGCAGAGGAATCCTGCACTGTTGGGCCCCCGAGCAAGGCCCTTATCCCCAACTGCTCCAGGGGCGCCGTATAAATGGCTGACCTTGTGCTCTGACCCCAAGCTTCTCTCCCTGTTTTTGTGTCTGTGTGTCTCATGGAGAGCAAGTTGGGGTATGCAAAAAGACATTTCTAATACAAGAAATTGTATATGGCCAATAAAGTGATCTTATACCATTAATACAGGTATATACTAACTACTCAACATTGCATCTTAGATGCCTATGTTCTGCCGACTCAGAAACCCAAGATGTTAGCCCTGTATTCTGAAACGCTTTACAACACCTTGACAGGTCAACAAGACCTTGCATCCTAAATAAAATAATAGTACTGAGGGCTACATCTCCCTTCCTACACTATCCTTTATTACGATTAACCAAAGTAGTTCACCAATAAAACCCTTTGATCATTTGTGTTTACCCCTTTGTAAGCTCTTCTGTAGCTAAGCAAAAACCTCAGATTCTATCCTTTATTCCCAGGCTCTCTGTTTAGGCCTTGACCGATGAATTAAGAACTGCAAACTAGATTTTATGACCACTAGCTCATAGAACTGTTGTACCACTGTACATTCTCTAGTTATCTTGTTTATTAAGGAGTTTTTTTGTTTTTTTTCATGGATAACAGATCTTAAACTGATAGAACAAAAGTATTGATTCAGTACAATGTTATACAAATATTAATGAAATGAATAAAGGTATTATGGTAGAGTCCACATGAACTCCTTTTGCAAGACATCTACTGATGCAGACACAAGAATGCACAATACTTCTTCCAGATGCTTTACCTTGGCACGGTGTATTACTGTATGTAATTCACTGACCAAAGACGATTGATAGGTGGCAATAGATGTTAGTGCTTTCTTTAATGTTTTTCTACTGTGCATATTTAAGTCCATGTAACAGGTAATTTTACAACTAAAGGGAAATTTTGGTATAACATATTATATAACTGAAGAACATACAGTACAGTAGATGGTAGTGGTAACTGAATATAAAAAACAAACAACAGTATCCCACCTTCTTCATAAATATTTTGTGCATCAGAGTTTAACTCGGAAACTTACAGTGGTTATTTTGAAAATGTTCAGTTTTGCCTGTTCCAACTATATAAAGTTTACACTTAAAAATGTTTTGTCCTTTTTAAGAATAAGAGATAGTACTGTACTTGCTATTGTAATTTTTTGAAAAAAACGTTGTTTATTGATTTAATACCACTTGATAGAGAATATTGGCATATTATTGAAATATTGGCAGCTAAAAATATTACTTGTGGATATTATGGAAACATTTTTGACATTTTTTAATGACTTTTGCTGTGCTTATAGTTATTATAGACAATGAAAGGCTCAGAGACTGTAATGTAGTATATTGCACCCAAGCGACAGTTCAGCCCAGTGGTTTAGACGGCCACCTGCTCCTCAGAAAGTGAAAGTTTCCCAGAAAATCCATTGCTTTGTTTTTTTTTAATAGCCAGATACATAAAAATGTTTTATTATTTCCAACATACTGTACTGTAGTGATTTAAAAATCATATGGTATCATATTGTATATACGTTATATTTATATGGTATATGATCACACTGCAGTTCAGTGACATGTAAGCTACTGTTTCAGTATGACCTCCACGTGATTCGCATGTGTGGAACATTTGGAGACGAGAAATTGCTGCTTAAAAAATCCTAATTGGGAGAAAAGACCTGTGTATGATTTTTTTCCTCATTGCAGTATATAGTGTAACCGTGCCGGTGTGATTTGTTGTAACCCCAACAACCGCATCACCAGTACAACATACATGTATAATAATATTAGGCAATAAACAGTAGAATTTATATTAATTACATTAATACAGTTGTATTAACAGCAACAACAGATACAAATCTTAACACAAATCTGAAACCTTTTAAAACGGACGTTATTAACCCTACTTCCCACCTGCATGTCAAGATCACAAAGGTGTTTTGATTATACTATGAATTAGTCCCTGTGGCATACCATCAAAGTTTTGAAATTGTAAAATAAAAATATCTTTGTTGCGTTTGCTGATTATGCTCGAAGAATCTGTACATTTTAATTTTTGGTTGTGTTTTGAAGTGTGGTTTCATTGTGGTTTGAAATGCACTTATCAGTGCTGATCTTTATAACCCAGAAATATAAAAATAGCATTACAATTACATGTAAATTATTCAGTCATTAAATCTCTGGTGCTTCATAATGCTTTCCCCCTATTTCTATCCTAAATCCACAGTATATGTGCTTCTTGAGCTTGGCAGAAAAGTGAGTTATGATTATTTGGTGTGCTGATTTTCTGAATAAATACCCAGCTGATGAAACCTTGTATATGGTACGTCCTGTAAAGTTACTTCAAAGCCTATGACAGACATATGCAAAAAGCAACCCAAGTTGGAGTCTGTAGAAAGAATAAAAAGTAAATGTGCTGGTTCAGTAAAGGGTTTGAGGCTCACTGGGGCTGTCTATGAAGGTGTTCAGTTTGGAAGTGCCAGAGAGTACATTTGATTAAGATCAGACTAATCAATCCATCTTTTTCTAGCTCCATGGTCCAAGAACACATTACATGCACTGTTTCTTTAAGATTTCATTTTTTGGTATTGATACCATTAAATGCCATTCAGTTACTTCCTGGCAGCGTGGTACATCATATTTGTAACATATTAAGAAGAAACATGATGTACTAAGAAGGAATGTTCTACTTTAAGTGAATTTTAAAAGTCGGCACCTATTCCCTGTTTCAGTGACAAAACAAATTAAGGGAATGAATGACTTAGTACATTTATAAATACTTTTCAGCCAGCCTTTGTAATATTACATACAGTGCAATGTGTCATTGGATGGTTTGTAATTATTTTTATTGTGTTATCGGAAGTCGATAGCCATATTTACATATAGTATATATTTGGAAGACTAGTGATTTTTTTTCCCCTCAATTCCTATCTTTCCTGGGTTATCTGTCATGTGTTAAGTGAGATGCTGGTTTCATAGCCACAGTCAGAAATCTTCTTCTTTGAAACCTCTGCACCAGTTCAATTGAAACTTGACAGATTTTGCCCACACCCAATCATGTTTCAGTCCTGCATCTCATGGTTTCAGTAATTTGTTTTGTACCTGATCATTATCTCCCTGGCAAAATGTGGCCCGTAATCCAATCTAGTGTTGTGCAAAAATTGGGCTACCACTTAACTAGTGGCAGTAAAATTACAGTGTTGTGCAGTGGGATTTCTCCAAAAACCCAGATGTCATCCTGACTGCCTTTTTAAGTTTTCAGTATGCATCTTGTACTATAAACTACTTTGTGTTGAAAATCTATTTGCCCAAAAATTCCAACTACTTTAATCCAAATTCGACAAGTTTCATAACCCTAATTCTAATACTACAATAGAATATAATTTTTTAACAATTCTTTTTCTGCATAATAAAATAGTGGCATCAAAACTGTTCTAATCACAATATAAATTTCAGGTTGCTACTTTTGAAAAATGGCTTAGCCTGTTAAATCCGCATCACCCTGGTGAAAATTCAATTCCAGTATTATACCATGCTTGTTCCTGTATGGCCACCTGAACACTATTGGTCATTTGTATTCAGAATGTTCAAAATACATTGACAGAAATCCTACAACCTCAAAAATGTACAGATGATGTACCATCCTCATTAAACCGATTTTAGAAATATGCCAAAGGAACTTATTTAGAAGGGGTTGATTTTATCACAATAAAGTGATCGTGATGCTTAAACCAAGCATTATACAAAACACTTACAGGTATTTATGTATGTCAGAAAAAAGTTCTGCAAAAATGTGGAGAATAACTATTTTTAAGTGTTTTGCTGAAGTCGTTATACTTTTGTCAAAGTTAAATCCGTACCATACGATACTTTTAATTCAACTCACACCAACAAATACATTTTGCACATAAACTACCTTGTTTATTTTTGTTTTGACAGCCAGTGAACAATGCAGATTTTATCATTCCAGTTGAAATAGATGGGACTGTTCATCAGGTAAGACATTTATTTTACACATTCTCTTTTTTAAAACTAATTTTGTAATAATCTGTGTGTTAGAAAGGTGACTTCTTTTTTTATTTGTATTTTGAGAGGGGTTATTAATCTTTTTGGCATGAGTGGCTTATTTTGTTTATTTGTGTTTGACTCTCCTGCTTACAGAAGCAAGTTACCTGACAGAGTGGTGACTGGGAATGGTGATGGGTTACAGCAGCAGGTTACTATTTTGGTCTCATGACAAAATCATTGCTTGGTTCTTGGAAGTCTCTGCCCATTAATCTCAGTCTTTAGCAGGTCTCCACTTCAAAGGTTGTTGCAGTATACTTTATGACCCCTTTTAAGGGAACCTACAATCCCTGTTCTGATGGATCAGAAGACAGAAGACACCTTGTAGTCTTAGGCCTGTGCCTGTTTCAAGTAATCCAGGATAGGCTTGTTCAAGCTTGGAAGGCCTATTCTGGATGACTTGGTTCAGGAGCAAGGCCAATAGCTACAAGTTCATGGGAGGAGTGAAGTGAATTGAACTTGAGCTTGTGAGTCTGTGCATGTGTGTGTTTCCATTCTTTTGTATGACAGGATTTTTCTTTTTCTGTTTAACCTTGTCTGTGTGTGCATTTATTTTTTTATTAAAAATACAAATTTTTGTAAGTAGTACTATAAAGTCTTGCACTCTAAGTTGTGAGATAATGCTGGTGTATCTTTCTGTACACCTCTTCTTAAAATTGATTTTAGCCAGTTTTACTGAATAAAGCTATCCTCATGACTGTGCCTTTACCTCATGTTAAGAACTCAGGCCTCAGGCCATAAATTCTTAAGAATTGTTGATGTTAGAGTAGTCCTAAGAAACACATGTTTCAGACTCATTGCTGCCTTGCCTATGGTTACGATAATGGAGTTTTAATGGTAGTAGGATGTGAGTGTCACATGCAGTATTTGAACTTTTTTGATCTCTTACTATTTACAGCTTGCTCAGGAATCCCATATGAGATACAAGTTGACCTATATTTAGAAAATGTGAATGCGTTTGTGGACTACAATTACAAAAAAGGTAGCAAGGATAACATAAGGTTTGAATTTCTTTAAACTCAAAATATTATTGCAGTTATCTAACGTCCACTAATATTCAGATGCTTGAATGCATTTGCATGGCAGAATATCTATTCTCTTGTACATAAGAATTATCTGGGATATTCTTCAAATCTATAAGCTCTTAGGCAATTTTTGAAAATGTATTTTATCACACAGGTGTATGTATTGAAGCGGCCCCATGTGGATGAATTTCTCAAACGAATGGGAGAGCTGTTTGAGTGTGTGCTGTTCACTGCAAGTTTAGCCAAGGTAAGCAACATATTTAGGAAAGGGAGTCTTTATAGTTAATCTCTGAGAATCGGAGTGAATACAGAATTATTTGGATTATTTAATTATTCATTACTTAATTAGTGCAAAAACCAAAGTATGCCATATATCAATTTTTCTTTTTAATTAATTGTATTTCATCAAATGGGCTAATAAGAAGAAAGTACACACAGTATGGGATATCATTGCATTAGCAGTGTATTTAAAAGGTTCAGTATATTTTTTACTCCTTTATCTGGACTGCTAGAATTATTTTTACTGTATAAAATAGAAAATGTTCATACATAAATAAGGTGACTGCACTGCAAATATAAAAATGTTCTACAGGTGTACATTTAATGAAAGATGAAGTTTGCAGGATATAAATAACAAATGTGAAATATATATATATCTATAAAAAAAGATATATCTTTAAAAAAGCAGTATAGTTGCAAAGCCTTTTCCTCACCAGACATTTGACATGGTGACACACTGAGACTGGAGTGACTGAACCCAGAATTGGACGTTGCTGTTCTTTCCGGAGGCAACTTGTGAAAGAAATGGTCATTTCTCAGTAGTTAACAAAGGAGAGCTTATGCCAGACTTCATCTGGACACTAAATATTTTGAACCTGTACTTGAGTTTCGCTAGGCTATCCCTCTCGGCAAATTAAGGGCATTAAAGTTATCTTCTCTGCCCACTGGTGTGTTTGTGTTTTTCAATAACTTCATGGTACAGCCTATTAAAACCATCTTATTCTTTTGCGTTTTCTCTATTGTGGCTTTCTCGATTGCTGTTGTCCTAGTATGCAGATCCAGTAGCAGATTTGCTGGATAAGTGGGGTGCATTCCGGAGCCGGCTCTTCCGGGAGTCCTGTGTGTTCCACCGTGGCAACTATGTTAAAGACCTTAGCCGACTGGGCAGGGACCTCAACAAGATAATCATAGTGGACAACTCTCCTGCCTCCTACATCTTCCACCCAGACAATGCTGTGTGTAACCTCTCCCCATTGTCTCTTTAATTTCCCTCCTTTTCCTTCCAGTCCAGTTTTCCCAGCATTCTTCACTTTAATGTTTTTTTCTGAAGATAGCATTAACTTTGTTTTTTTTATTTTACTTATTTTACTTTTTATTTTGTTTATTTTTATCCTATTCACTCTTTTTTTCTGAATTTCTTCAGTTATAATCATGTATTTCAGACTTTCCCTTGGATTTTATAAGAGAACCTTAATACTTACTGTACCTATTATGACATCTTGCCCAAATTTTATTTAGAATGTAGAGCAAGTTAACCTTCAAAAACAGAACAGTTGAATTATAAATACAGTATAAGAAGTATTGTTTTGAAGTACTGACTTACTCTTCCTTCATAACAAGATTATAGTTATTTTCACTTCATTGTGAAGAAGTGCACTTCAGTACTTTAAAGTGATGTCTTTACCATTGCAAATTGCTCTCTAATTTTCTGATATAGCAACTACTTCCGTTTATGTGAAACATTTCATTTCAGCTAGGAATCTTAAGGTGTATCTTAAAGTATTTCGCCTCATGAACACTTTATCAACTGTATACTTGTTTTATTCCTCATGTTTTGTATCTGTGGTCTTCTGCAGGTGCCTGTAGCCTCCTGGTTCGATGACATGTCTGATACAGAGCTGCTTGATCTCATTCCTTTCTTTGAGAGACTGAGTAAGGTGGAGGATGTCTACACAGTACTCAAGCAACAGAGGACTATAAGCTAATGGAATCGCAAGGCTTCACAAGACAGGGCCAGTGGCTGGTGGGCACAGGCTCTACAGTGCTGCTGACAAGCTGAGTGGTTACTGCCCTTTTCTTCATGACCTACCCACAATTCCATTCACAGGAACACATGGCAGAAATGAGCTGGTAGCAGCAAAGCAGTTGCCCTTTTGGAAGAAGAATGGAGCTGCAAAGCACTTCTTAAAAATGTATAGAACATTTTAACACTTGAATATGTGTTATTCTTTTATTTTTGTTTGCAATTTTGAGACAAGGTTGAGGGATGGGTCCCTGCCATGTTTGTTAAAGGACCAGTGGTGATCCCTTTGAAACAATGAAAAGTAGGTCCCTTTTTTATATTTTATGATTAAAATATTTTTTACATGGAGAAATGTATATTATGTTCCCAGGGCCTGTATTGTGGGATATGTCCCATTTATCATTCCCAGTCTTCATTGAATAATTTCTGTATACACATAAAAGCATGTATGGTGCAGTATTTGGGGTAAGGGTAAAAGACCCTTAAAAAGGCAATCGTGCAGATGTAGCTCTAGGTGTTTTTCTTTTTACCCCTTGTGGTGTAATAAAAAAAGAGAGGCAATATCACAGTATTGAAATGCCGTAATATAATCACATCAAGCATACACTATATACAGTAGAATTATATGCCAAAGCATCCTAGTATTTTCACACTATTTTGACTGCCTTTTCTACAGTGAACCAAGTTTAAGTAAAGATAGTCCTTAACTTAAAAGCATTGTGACATCATTGCATTTAATGGTAGGGATTCTGATAATGCTAAAGTATTATAAGTGGAAGCTTATCCATGATGTATTGTAGCATATTTTAAAAAAATGTCTACTTGCCTTAACCACGTTTTTCAGTTCTATGGAATTACTAAATCACCACAATGCCTAATTACAGTATGTTCCCTTTTTAACACATTGTCTTTAAGATCTTTAATATGTGATTAGGTAATGTCTCATATTGGCAGCACTGGAGAATAGTAACCTTGATCCAAAGAGGAGAGATGCATATTGCAGAACCTCAACCTCAAGCTTTCTCTGGGAGGAGCATCACTGGATGCAGAGGAGATTCCAGCTTATGTTCTTTCCCCTTAAGTTCTGTCTAACAGAGAAGCTAGAAAGTGCCAATGTGGGTATTGTGAATTTTGTTTTCTACAGACTGCAATATTAAAGCTGGACATGCTGTCCAGCTGGTTGTTGTTTTCTTCATCTGTTTAATTTTTCTTTTTTTTTTAACAGAAAAAACATTAAAAACTGCCTTCACATTCTGTTTCTTATTATCTTAGTACTGTGGTCCAGAAAAAATACCAGACAAACTTAAAAAGCAGTGTGTATGAAAATGACATTTGGTTTTTATAAGCACAATATTTTCTAATTTTCTCCAGAACTTGAATTTGTCTGCAACATTTTGGTAAGCTTGTCATTAGTGTCATTTATGTCAGTTCCATAGTAGATTATACAAGGAAAAAACCCCTAGAAATGTACGTTTTTCTTTCTGTTGTAGGCAATTAATATGATCATGGAAGTATTTTTGAAACTTTGAAATGAATTGGAGCAGTGATCTCTGGATACTTAACCATCCACCCGTTTTATAACCATTTCCCCCAGTCAGGGTCAAATGTTGCTCTCCTAGCAAGCAGTGGGCACAAGGCAGGGTACACCAGGCCATAACAGGGCACACATACTGTACACACATACGCATATAAATTTTTTTAGGGCCAATTTTCCCTAAAGCCAATTACGTTACCAGTATTTTTTTGGATTGGGAAAGAAACCACACGAATAAGCTCCATGCCAATTGCACCCCGGGAATTGAACCTGTTGCCCTCAGCTCTGCGAGGCACCAGTACTAACCACTGCACCACTATGCGGCCCACCTACTTAACCATGTTTTAAAAAGTCATACCTACATGCTAGTGTTAACAGTAACAGTTGTTATTGGAGCATTATATGTATAAAGAAACCCAGTAACTTCACTTGTTTAAGATCTAGAATTATGCAGTCTCAGTTTAAACCAGATCACACCTTTCATTCTCAAGAATTGCATCATTACCACTTAAGTGAAGTCAGAGTTCAATTTCACCTTCCCTCTTTCTCTGTCCTGGCCAGCTTTAATTGTGAACCTCTTTTATTTTCTTATAGAATTTTTAAAAGTAAGTGATATTTCCAAACAGGTATTTGCAATACAGGAAAGGGCAGCATATAGATGCATTCCATTTAAAGAATGTTCTACAGTCTGTGTATGCAGATGTTTTACATGAGCTTCCATTTGTAATGTTTTTATGGATGTGAGAACAGCCTTCTGCGCAGTATACAGTATCTTGTTCAGGAATTGAACAGGATAAAGCAGACACTTCACTAAAAATCCCAGTAAATCAGAAAGAAGGCTAATGTTGGGCACAAAAGATGGTACATTTTGTTGGAAACTACACCTTGTACTGTACATTTAAGACAATCCTAATTAAGGTGAGGTATGGTGCATTAGCTTTTAGTGATACGATTTTGAGTTTTTTTTATGAGAAATTGTAGTCTTTATAACCAGTCAGTACAGCTTCATGACTGTCAGAAACAAGATGTTTTTGAAGCTAGTAAATTTGTGTCTTTTTATTTGTGTAAATGTCTACATATACTGTAGATGGACTTTCAAACCTAAGCCCAAATGTTATTTTTTTCAGTTCATATATTAAAAAATAACTTTAAATAATGTGTTTGTGTTACTCTTGTCATGCCATTTAACTAATATACAAGCATAACTATGTAGTGTATGTTTGTGAAACTAAAAATGACTATATATGGTAAGGCTGCCCATAGTATATGTAACTGTTATTTTCAATATTATACTCTTTTTGTACAAACAACAAGCATACCTACCATACACTCTGGTTAATCATTCCCAAAAAGTCATTTTTTATATATGTTGGGAATGCAATGTCATTTTCATCTCTATTGCTCTTTAAGGAACAGTACTGGGATCTTAATCATCAAGAGTAATTGAGAAAACCTTGTACCAGGGGGATGTTCTACCACAAAAATAGATTGGCAACAAAGAAGAAATAAACTGTCAGTATTAATTCCCACATTCAGTACTCTAACTTAAATCTCTGCAGATTACTTTTTTCTGAAACATTCTTTCTCTTAAGCAGTTTTATAAACGTGGTTTCTTAATAACAGGTTGATGAGTGATAGTGCCCAAGACATATTGGAAATGAATCCTTAAAAATATGCATCTTGACAGAAAGTTCATTTGTGTAAAGTGGAAACTATTTTTTTAAAATAGTGGTTCAGAATAAGGACTCCCCGTTGTACTTGGTCACCAAAGGAGAAACAGATACTGTGGTTGAGTTTAATTATGTGGCTTACTGCCTTTTACTGTATTTTCATTGTAATGAAACATGCAGATACAGGTGCAGTATATGAACATCTTTGGTAATTACACAGTAATACAGCAGACAATTGGCATTAATATATGGTATAATATACTTGTGATCTGGGAACACTGAGTTTAAATTAAAACAATTGTAACCTAGTTGTGAAAGTATTTTTATTAAAATTATTAAATGTATTTTACTGTATGGAACATGAATTATCTCATAAATGATATCATACAATCTTAACATCTTGAATGAGTGGTGTGCGTGCTTATTGTGTCTAATAGTTACCTTTAGATATTGCATATACTGTAGTTGTTACCATTGACAGATAACGATCAAGCTGTTTAAAGGTTAGGACTATATTTTTAAAAGATGTTTGTTACTTTTGGGCCCAAATGTCAATTCAATAATAGTTGCAGTCTTTTTCAACAAAAATAGGCTGAGCCTAACCCATACATTGTTTGCTTTGACATACAACACCTTCCAAGCATGTGAAAAGTTCTTGTTTTTAATATCTTTTTTTACTGGCTTATTCACTAAAAGCTACTTTGTATTTAATTGTAAATAAATATTTTGCTTTTAGACTCATAATGAAGCTGAGCTGTTATTCAGCTTGGGATTCTTCTAGTGAACTTTTAATACCAGCCAAGAACCACTAGAGCTAAGTGAATCAGATTAGGCAGACCATCCACTGTGGCAGGCAGTTATGAGCTTAGTGCCTTATCACACTTCTCTAATTAACGCTGACTCTCTGGTTAAGGACTAAAGGACATACAAGGTCTAAGAAATGCACAGTTTTGACTTACACGCATTGGAGAAAGGGTGATTGGTAATCATTTCAGTAAAGCTTCAGATGATGAATCATTTGCAGTTCCAGACGGGGGACTTTTAGAAGAACAACAAAATATGATAATAAGAAAATAAGAATGAAAAAACCCTATATATTTAACATCAATTGAAATATTTTCTTTTTAATCAATTTAAGCTAAAACCGTGTCAAATATGAGTTTCATAAGGAAGTATTGAAGTGAGACCTTCTCATAATGTCATAGTGGTATTTTCTGCCAAATGAAAATTTCAAAGGACCCTCTGAAAATTAACCAGAATACATTGTTACAGCTGAGACGGAGTAGATGGTGGTTATTTCAAGTGGTCTCCTACCCCATCCGGTATTTATACATTCAATATATTTTATATTGAAAAAGACTGCAACATTATAGGAATTAATGAGATCAGATGAGCCTAATAACCATACCCTTAAAGTTTCACAATGAACACATAATTTAACATCTTGAGCTTTATACATAGTTTGGTGTCTGGGAAAAACAAAACAGAAACAACTGTAATAACACTCCTGTCTAAAGTCAAAGTTCGAGATCCTCTGAGTCAAAAAAAACCTCAACCAGTTTGCTTTTCCTATCAAGCAGGTTTTATTTTAAGAATTCAGAATCTGGAAACAACAACAAAAATGTGCTGACACTAACTCAGAAATTCAGGAAAGATTGTGAGGTGAAAGGGGGGATGTGGGAAGTTTTTTTACAGGAAATTGGGGGGGCATCACTTCCTCTGACAGAAAAGGTTTTCTTTTAATTACATTGCATTATATTTGAAAACTGATTGCAATAACAACAGTGATCTTTCTTGCAGATAACGTTTAATACCAAATTAATTCTGAAGTAAATGTTAATGAATCTATTCTTAGTCAACATCATCTTAAACATTAACCAATTTTGGCCCAACACACTCAAATCTTAAAACACATTAAAGTAGGACATATCATTCATTTTCAATCATACTAAAGTTACAGTATCCTATAATAGAAATAATATTTTTTATTATATTTCTATTATATTAATAAGATTAAAAAGTCATACAAATACTAAGTTATGAAAAAAATCAAGAGTAGATTAATATTATGGGTTCTACACCATGTACAAATTCATTTATTATTATGAGTACTCATTGCAAAGTTATAAAATAGGTTTTCCTTTAACCCGTCTTTTGAGCTGTAAAACGATTCATACTCAACTAATATTGATTTCTCTTTTACAATTTAGAATTGCATTGATATTTGAATGGCATTATTATTCAGGATATAATCGGTGTGGTGACTGACTTGAAAACTAAGCAAGCAGACTTCAGATTTCATACCTCATCAGATTGTTTTATATTTAAGTTTTATTTTACTGACTTACTGTATTACTATCACATAACTCTTGCTATTCATTTAACCGACTCCTAGAATATTTCTAGTGAATGTCAAACACTACAACATAAAAGATGAGCTTTCAATGCACATAAAATGGTGTTTTGTTGAGGAAGGGATTTGAACGATTTAAAGTTAGTATCATGTTTTGTTTAAAAGTAACTCCTTATGGTTTAATCAAGCTAAGCTAGATATTTTTTAAAGCTACAGTTTTCAAAGCAGATATTGTCAAAATATTTTGAAGGTTATACCTGCCATCCAGTTTCTTCTTAGATTTTAATTGGTTTGTGACATAGAATAAACTGGTCCTATATGAAAAAGCATGCCCCTTTACATTCTGTTTATATCACAATGCTGTTTTGAATGAACCCAAAGTCACAAACCAGCAACTCCTAATTTATGTTTAAACAATGTTTTTCTCCTTTCAAATAACACATAAATGGAATTGTGATAAATCAGGTGCATAGTACCTTAATTAAAGCAGAGCAGAACAAACCAGTGGCACTACGTTTCAAAACCATTCCACTGCCCAGTATCCTATTATTTTGGAATATGCATGAAGCATCTTATAAAATATTTTTCTTCCCCTATCTTCTCTATCTCCCAATTAAATATATAAATATACATAAATAAATCTGTTTTTGACAATACTGTTAGTATCTTCCAGGTCGCAGACAATTCTTTGTCCTGTTTTCTGGAATTAGTCTGTGTGAAATAAAAAAAGATACATGTAAGTGAACATTCTTTAGAATTCATTTGCAGAATTTTTGAACTACAGAAAAATCTACATATTGTAAACTACTCTAAAAACTCTTCAGAATTATTTTAGTTGAAATAATATATACACCAGAAATACTCTTTAAAAATATGAATTAAAAATAGTAAATAAAATGAGTTGGCAAAAGGTGCAAGAGAGAGGTGATTTCTTGTTCTAGGCTGTTTCTTTTTGTTCTTGTTTTTGGAATATCTATGTTTACAATGTACTTAAAACAGATAGATGAGGTGTAAGATATATTTTAAAGTCACTAACCCCAACAAAGATGCTAAACAAAACATCTTGGGCATGTGGCTCACATTATGAGCCTGGAAGGTGCAAGTTTTAACAAGGCAAATACTGTAATTTGGAACTCAATTTGGAAATTTTACTTCTTAAAGCAGAATTAGACTCTTTTTTTTAACTTTGATGATGAATACTTTTTGAATTGAGGGAAAGGACTGGTTTTCCACTGGCATCTTGGCAGTTTCAAACTAAAACTAAGTTGAATACCAATACAAAAGAGAAAATCCACATTCCAATAATTTCCTGAATCACAGTATTGATAGAAATAACTTCCTGCTTTCTGTCTTTGTTTATAAATGCCGAAACCAATGACATGGATTTTGTTAAATACACCAAAAACTCTATACAAGGCCTCAAAATACAGAATAATTCTACAGATATGTCTGTGTTGTCTCATCGTTTCATCTAATTGTGAACTTTTTCAAATTAATCCAGCTATGTCAGGAGATAGTGGTAGTTTTGGTAATTTGCAAAATCTTGTTACTGGTGAGTGTCGAGAGCGTCCTCACCAACGGGATCACCGTGTGGTATGGCAACACCTCTTCGCGAGAAAGAAAGGCATTGCAGAGAATGGTCAATATGGCCCAGAAGATCATCGGCTGCGGTCTCACCAAGATTAAACAGCTCTATGAGGACCGCTGCCATTGTAGAATTCTGGCCATCACAGAGGACAGTCACGATCCCGGGCATGAGCTCTTCACCCCACTGCCCTCAGGCAAGAGATATAAAAGCATACGGACACTGACCACTAGATTCTTCAATAGCTTCTATCCACAAGCAGTGAGACTGGCAAACACATTTAGCCATCCCCCTCGGACCACACCTACACCATCACCATCTACCTCTTTATGATTTCTTATCTATTGCACATCTCCAGTCATTGTTTACACGTCTGTATTGTTTACATTCAAACTGTCTACATGTTTACTTGCACATTGTCTATTGTTTGTTTGTACATTGTCTTGATGCCCTGTTTGCACTTTGTTTTGTTTTTTACACTTGTTTTACAATCGAGAGACTTTCTGTAAGTAAGAATTCCATTGTACCAGTACCGGTTACATATGGCAATAAAGTTCAAGTTCAAGTTCTGGTGAGTGAGATACTTAAATTCCATGATTTAATTGTTAGTGACAAGAAAATCCTACTCACCCTTGACTTTTAACCTGGCACTGCTTCGTGCTTTGCCAGTGGTGAATTTGACAAGGCCAGTCATTTCTGTTGTGGTCTTTCTGAGGGTGAGTCTGTGAACAGTGCCCATGCTCTCCAGTCGAACATCGCCGCCATGCTGAAGGGTCTCCCCATTCAGAGTCCAGACAGGTGGTTTGATGACTGGGACAGAGATCTCACACTCAAAACATGCCTCTTCTGGAGCTCTCACCTCCACGTCTTCTAGAACCCGGACAATCAAGATGGCCTGTTCTAGATGGGCAGTGCGAAAGGAGAATGTATGTCAGGATTAAAAGAAAACTTGAAAACTTAAGGGTGCTTGCTGAGCCATGTTATGTGAAACACATACTGTATGATGCCGACAGCCAAACAAATATGAATTAATGTTTTAGGACAAAAAAAATTAGAAATTAGAAAATGTCACCTGCGTAGTGTGAGAAAAAAGACCTCTCAAGTAACTAAAAGGAAACTTGATGAAAATAGAAACATTCAGGAAAGAATTCACATGAGAACACGAAAATTCCAAGAGCTCTCCTATTTCTTCACACACAGGCTCTTTCTCATCTGTACTCCATAGGAGGGAAGTGTAAGGGGACAATGTGGCTCACCTTCCACCATCAGCTTTGCCGATGATTTGTGCTCTCCAACCTCAACGCTGTAGACACCCTCATCTGAAAGTGCAACCTGGTGGATGACCAGTTTGCGGTAGCAGCCCTCACTGCATATCTCAAAGTGTTCAGAGGGCAGGATCAATTTATCACCCTGGTACCAACGGATGCTTGATCGGGGATTGGACACTGTACACTCCAGGATCACACGATGCTTTTCCAGGGCTGTCTTGTCCCTGAGGGGCTTTACTATTGTTACTGGGAGTTCTGTGAGGATAGGCAGGAGAATTAGGAAGCTTCTTAAAGGCTTGATATCATTATACTGTAGATACCAAGGCATTAATGGATTCCAGGTTGAATGGATTCCAGGTTGAATACAGTCCTGGATCTCAGGACTACAGTCTTTTTGTAAGATCAGACATGTCTTTATGTATAAAGTAACTTTTTAAATATTTCAGAAAATAGTAATGTACTTATCCACAGTAGTTCAATGAATGAAAAGTAAATAAAATGCAGAAAAAAAGAGTGACAGAGAAAGAGAACAAACAAATGTTTCTAACCGGGAAAGAGGTGGTCACAGAAGACTACAATACTGAAATATGGATGTTTACAAATTAATGAGTGAAGTCTTGAGAACCGAAAAGAAGTTTCAGCGCTGGTTCTAATAGTATCAAATACAGTATATTGAACATATATGATTAAAAAGATTTATTAAGTTAATTTTATTTGCTGAATGAAGATATGCAACTTGGAAGGAGGAGCTAAAAAGTGGCGTAATACATTAAGCAGAAAAAGGATGATCAAGTATCAAGTGGAGGCTCTACCACTTGACTGTGGTGTGAGGAAGCAGTGAAAATGTGAAGGCTGGCACTGTATATCAGCAGCTGATTCTAGTTTAAGAACTTTTTTTGTACTACAGTTGACACCACTGTTGCAATGCCTCATTCTTTTTAACGGTTTCTAGGCTCAGTCATTAAATGAGTTTGTGTAGAGCTTATATTTGATACTTTCATGCTAATCTATGGTTCAGATTTGTGACTTTTGAGTACGAGTTACTCATTAGCTGATTGTGATTACCCAAAAGGCACATAACAACCAGCCAAGCATCACCACATCTGGGTTGGCTTTAGTCTGCTACAGTAGTACAGCAAACTACTGTAGCTTCATCTGCTTAGCTTCAGATCTCAGTAATGCAGTATGGTAATGGTATAGTTTTGTAGGCTTTGTTGTCCATCAGAGATGTTAAACCAAGGTCCCAACTACTCGGTCATTAAGATCCCATGGCATTGTTTGAAAGTGTAGGGGTATAAATCCCATGCGTCCTTAAGTTTCCCCCTTATTCAGCGAATGAAGCAGTTTTTTACTTTTCTGTGATCTGTGTAGTTATGGTGGGGCTGCTGGTGTAAAATGACACCCAGTGGTGGATAGAGACCCCTCCTATATGTAAAGTGCTTTGTGATACTTTGTATTGAAAAAAATATATACAGTAAGTGCAATTAAAAAGAAATTGAAAGTATTTTTATTGGAAAACAAACTTAATTATCCAGAAAAATGTACACATGAAAACACTGAATGTTTACCTTCTACTTCTAAGTAAGCAGTAGACTCGGCCTGTTTTGCAACAAACTTGATCTCTCCAGAGTCTTCTGCCCTTACATTACACATCAGAAGAAAATGCTTGGTCCCTAAAGTGAAAGGAATAAAGAAAGCAAGGGTTCCGTTGCATTTTATTGTCCTCTATACTGGAGGGACGGTGTGTGTGCAGGAATTGTAGGCCTCTTTTAAACAACAGCATATGAAGATCAGGAAAACCGGTCCAATTAAGTCAATAATGAGCTGATTTAGGATGCTTTGAGTCCAGCTGGACTGATAACCTATAAACAGGACCAGGATTGTATCAAAAGTAACAAAATGTCAATAAAATGGTAGTAGAGTTATAGAAGTCATACAAGTGAGTAAAAAATATTTTATATAGTTTCTATAATGCAGGGTTTATGGCAAGATTATTAATCTATATTATGACTTTTTTTTACTTATATAGTAGGCAGGCTGAAACAAATGAGGTCATTTGTTTAAAAGAGTCTATGGAATATTTAAAATATGACTGGTTGAGATCTTTGGATCAATTAAATCACTGTAATCAGCTTAGCAAGTGAAATTGCTTCCTCTGTTGAATCCTGTCATATTTTTTATGAAGCATTGCTTGTGTGATTTATAATGCTGGTTAGTATCTTAGCAATGATGAAATAAACAGTGCTCACCTTCCTGACGGATTTTGATGGTGCTGGTGGGTTTGATTTTCTCCCCATTTTTAAACCACTCCCCTGGCACATCCTCCACTGACACTTCACACAAAAACACCGCATTTTGGTCTTCCTCAATGTCCAAATCCTCCAGGCCCTGTACTATCTCGACTTTCCTCTCTGGAAAGAATGAAATAGGAGTAACCATGAGAGTAAGCAGACTTTCACCTCCATTGGCATCAGTCTCCCACATGAACGAAAAAGATAAGCTATTATAGTGACAGAATGATTTACAGAGATTTTTCACAAAAGGTTTATTAGGACATTTACTGTACATGTCATTTCAATAATGAGTCTGATTACATCTCTTCAAGAGCCTTCATTTTAAAATTAACTCTTACAGTATGTGACATTTATAAAAGGATACATTTATCTTTTTGCCAGAGCTAGTTATTTAGCCAGTTTTGTTAAATAATTAGTCTGTAGGTAATTTATCCTTGTTTTGAAAGTTCAGTAAAATCTTCTCCATTGTGCTCTTGAGATTAGAACAGATTTGTTGACTTTATCTGATTTTCTAGTATCCATTTTTATCATTTTGTAGCTGTTTACTCAGTATTCTAAAATCATGATGCAAAATTAGGGTGAATATGGAATTGCAGCTATATATTTCCACAAGCATCTTAATAAGTTTGGTTTAGGAGTTCTTAGTTTAGTTTATTGTAGTAGATGCAGGTAAACCCTGTTTCGTTTCGTTTTAAATAAAGCTAAATTAACTAAAGGTTAAGGTTAGTAATTTTAATTGCAAGGTTAGTAATTTTGATTTCTAGTTCAGCTGCAATTACGTGCTCTGAGCAGATGGTGGCAGTGCTAGAGTGTGAGTTAAATCTGTCGATTTGAAATGCATCTGGGGATAAATGAAAAATGAGACGGGTTTTCCACAGCATGCTATTATAATACAGTAATTTAATCATATTAAATTGTAATTTATTTTTTAAATGTTTAAATATAAAATTATTTTACAATAATTATTTTAATTTGAATAATAATTATTTTTAGTTTTAGTTTTCCTGGTGAACATTTGTGTCCATGTCACTTAAAATCTACTTCTAGTATATCTAAAGATCTGTCTAAACTAGTTGCAATAAAGTTATGACTAGGTTATTTGAAATTATTATTTCAATCTGTAAACGTGAAATGAATCAGGCTGTTGGACTGATGAGATTATTTTTAGTTGTAATGTGCAACATATTTCCAGATCATCAAATTATCATGCACACAATTAAGTTGTTCAAACTGGGTAATTTTTGTGACCTCAAGCCAGATCTGAAATTCCCTCTCTGTGTGGACAGGACTGAAGATAAAATAAAATTCTCTGCATAAGTGACAAAAATCTTTAATAAGTGACTTAGTGTTTGTCCTTTTGAATTCCACTTGTTGTCCTGTGGTATATGTGAATGTCTGTGTGTGTGAAATGCAAAAGACATAATAATACAAGTTCTGTGATGTGTGACATGCATTTTTAAAAGTCAATAATACCATAGATGTCCAGAGTACAGGACACTGTGCTGTCCCCAGCATCACAGGTATATATCCCCGAATCCATGGTCCCACACTTTGTGATCTGGAGGAACCTCTTTCTCCCCATAGAGTAGATGCGGTAGCTCTTCCCTGGTTTCAGTTCTTGTCCATTCTATAGCCAAGGTGAAGAATGTCTTTGTTATAGGGAAAACATGAGAGCAGGCTTTTTCCTTTTACCATATTTCTCTCAGCCATACTGTATACATGCAGTCAAGGTAATTAGTATTCATAGTCTCTACAACCAGACAAATCTAATTATGTGATAATTGAGAATGAATTCAATCACATATTGAAATCAATGAATGCTATTCTAAATTTAGCATTTACCAGAAATAAATTTGTGAATCAAAAACCGTATTTGAACCTCATTCTAGACAGAAAAAAGCAACTCACACATAGCCTTGAATATTTTATCTTGGTCTTGCATCTAGTGCTAGCAATTGATTGCAGTGTTTTTTTAACAGTTCTTTTAATTGTCTATGTAGATTTTGTGCTGGATTCCCCGTTCTAGACTGTTTCAATGGTGCTTTATTCCTGCAAAGGAACAAGTAAAGGTTTATTCCATGCTGAAAATCTTCACACTTGAAGAAGACTGCACAGCAGAAATGTTACAGTATGTTTCTTTTCTTCTCTTTTCAGCATGGAATTTACTTGTTCCTTTGCAGCCTAAACATGCTGACGCAGCTACCAACTTGAGCTTAATGTCTGTCTGTTCACAGCATCTCCATAGAAAGTCCAGTGCATGAACAGACTTGACAATAGAAGTTATTTTGGCTTTTAATGTTTTTAAGGTTGTCATGAGTATAGTTCTGTATTTCTCTGAATTTAAATCTTCTGTAGGAGAAGCATCCCAAAGGCTTGAATTGCTAAACAAAAATAATTATGGACCTATCTCCAAGTTTGAAAGCAGGAAGAAAATGTTTTTTTAAAGGCTGTGCAAACATTTGGTAAGCATATTGTGTTCCTTTGTTTTTTGTTTATATTGTGTTTTTCTTGGTTTTAATTACCTAAATCATGTACTCAAATTCACTGGGATCGTTAAAATAGTTTCGGTAAAGTTTAAAGACCTTAGGGGAGTCAGAAGCTGGGCAGGTAGCCCCTCAACTCCACTACGCCAGAGCTGGGAGAATACAGGCTGCGATTCCTGCTCTCTGGTCTGTGGTCTACGCTCATGTATAAACCTTTTTACCACACCACTAACTTCACTCCCAAATACTTCCTCAGTAAAACTCACATTTTACAATATTCATCACCTTATACATTTCTTCCCACTTTTCTCACGTCAGATCCACATCACTCATTCTTGAGCATGACCAGACAATAGAGAAGAACTGCTCCAGTCTGACAGGCCACCAGAGAAAGCAGTCTGAACTACTGTCCCAACCATGCAACATCTGCTGGACCCAACCACTTATCCCCTTACCATGGCCTGTTTTTCAGAAGCCCCTTACCAACAGAACCTCTCCAGGAGCCATTTCCACCCACTGCCTTTCTCTATTTTCTTCCCACATGCAAACCACACGCAAACACTTGATGCACTCTCTTACAAACCCACTGTTTTTGCAGCTTACAGACAGTCCGCTGTCCGACCTTCTCACTAGGCTTTCTCCTGGAGCATTTTGTCGACTATCCCTTTTCATTGTTAAAAAAATGAACATTCATTCGTTTTCCAAGAAATAGTTTTTGCTTAAATACTTGTTATCACTTTCTCTCACCTTTAACCACTTAACTTCCACATTCTGCCTGGACAGCTCACACTCAAGCAAAGCTGCTGTGTTTTCAGGAATATGTAGGTCCTCCAGCTTTTTCAGAAAGGTCACAGGAGGCTCTGAAACAGAGCAGTGAGTTCTTACAAAAACAGCTACAAGTAAGATTAGACTGAGATGGTTTAACTCTGGTTAAAATATATATACATTCCAGCATATCTGAAATACCAAAATTCAAATGCAAGGAAAAGTCATTAAAATTTTAATAAATTAGCAGCTTTCCAAAACACTAATATATCCTATATTGAAATATAAATGTTGTAGTACCTAAAATAATACCACCCAGTAACATATGTGTTATATTTAAATTTTATTCAAAATCCAAAATGTTTGACATTGTTTCACTGAGCCTATAGGTGGAAATCTGGCTTTATTATTTTCCCCTGCTTTGTAGAACATGTCATTTCCGCAGAATGTCCTGGAATCCTCTGAAAAACTGGAAATCATGGGTGATTTTCCAGAGGAAGTTACATGCACCATATCATATGCAATTCTCTTTAGAAACCAAAATCCCCCAGTTCAGCGGTAAAGTCTGTTTCCTGTACCACCCTCTGTCCAGCTGTTCTCATTATCCAGCTGTTGTGTAATGTGTTGGTAAGAGCAACTGCACCCTTCCAAACCAGATGCAGAGGCACTTCTGCATAAAACTGTTAGTTCAGCTCTGGCTCAACTGTGAAACCTGCATTCTGTTTTTCGTATGCCAGTCTTATTGTTGTCATTGTTGTAGGAATTTTCACTTATTACATTGAATCTTATCAGTGAGGCATAATGACTTTAATAAGAGATAACCATACAGATACAATGAGATAATGCCACTGAATACTGTTTTGCATTTTCTAAATTTGATTTATAACAGACACATTAACCCCAGTAATGTGAACCCACGGCATGCATAATATGTAGCCGATTCTTCAATTACAGTAATACAGTATGTTTTGCCAGCTTTTGCAAATAATGGTGTGAAACTTTTTAATTTTGGTGTTTCGGAAAGAAATTAAGAAATAAAGATAAAAAAATAAAATGTATTATTTTTACTTTTCTCTACAAACATGTATCAATAATAAATTGCATGTTAACCACCAGTCTTAATTTCATATAAAGCAATGCTATATTCACAATTCCAAAAATTTACGACTAAATTAGCATTGTAGATGGTAGAAGGGAGGGGATTGTTTTGTTGACTAGTTTTTGTTATAGTCATACTTTATTTTTGTGAGCATTAGCAGTAACTTCCATGGAATTACCCTGTTATACTTTCCAAGAAAAAAGAACCTGAGAACAATTATAACCTACAGCTGACCCTTTGGCCAAACTAGGCCAGTTGGTTTTATAGTAAGCTGGTCTCCTGTGCTGTAGGCATTGAGTTACTTTGCCCACAGAACTGGACATCTAAATTTTGGGGATACCCTGAGATTCTCAATGTTTTTGTGTGAGGTCTGCTGTATGAGATTAAGGAAGTTGTACTTCCAGGATGCTAAACTGTTACTTTGTTTTCCACACACACTTCATGCATCTTTTACAATAGCTGCCTCTCTCATACAGTAGATTGCCTTATACTTTAGATCCACCTTATTAAGCTATTAAGCCAATTAAGCTACACTGAAGTGCCAACAAGTCATCTGCTTTACACTTTCAAACATTCCTTTTCTTTGGCAGACCCCTTCTCTAGGTTTTGATATGCCCCAAAACCTTGACACTATTTCACTTCAGCACTGGAAAGAGAGCAGTGGTTTTATTGTTTTATTCCAACACACACTCTTTCAGGGAAGAGTTTGGGAGTTTGGGGGAGAGGGAAAAGAATCCATCTATATATCAATTACTGCAAACGCATGTTATTTTGTAGATGGCTTTCTTCTCCCTCTTCTCCTTAAAAATTATAATTTCAGTGCAAGTCTTTGCTATGATCACACAGCTATGATCTCTGTGAGCTTTTCTCTTTTTACGCCCAAGACTTAGCCCACCACAACCCTGCCTCGGAGCAGCACTTTCTCTCCTAAATTGTTCTTCACTGGCACAGAGATTTTATAACTAAGGACATGTCCTGGCTGAGGCTTGGCTTAGTTTTTCCTGGGAAAAACTAAGGTTGCTGCTGGAAGAGGTGTTAGTGGGGCCAGCAGGGAGCGCTCACCCTGCGGTCCATGTGTGTCCTAATGCCCCAGTATAGTGACGGGGACACTATACTGTAAACAGGCGCCTTCCTTCTGATGAGACGTAAAACCGGGGTCCTGACTCTCTGTGGTCATTTAAAATCCCAGAGCGTTTCTCGCAAAGAGTAGTGGTGTAACCCCGGCGTCCTGGCCAAATTTCTCATTGGCCCTTACCAATCATGGCCTCCTAATAATCCCCATCTATGAATTGGTTTCATTACTCTGCTCTCCTCCCCACTGATGGCTGATATGTGGTGAGCGTTCTGGCGCACTTTGGCTGCCGTTGCATCATCCAGGTGGATGCTGCACATTGGTGGTGGTGGAGGGGAGTCCCCATTACCTGTAAAGCGCTTTGAGTGGAGTGTCCAGAAAAGCGCTATATAAATGTAAGCAATTATTATTATTATTATTATTGGCGTACACTTTCATTCTCTTCTCCAGGCACTCCTCTATGCATCTTACAAGTTCTCACATGAAACGCCATGGTGCTTCTTGAGTGTCCTGCACCTTCAGGGCCATGTAGTTGCTGAAATATGGTCCCTCCCTGAACCACTGCTCTCTTTCCAGGGCTATGCTGTCACAGCTATTGATCCAAGTATCTCATCCAGCCATTTCCTAAATCAGGCGAGGGTATCAGTTTTGATAATATGGTTGCATAGTTTTTTTCAGACTCCTACAACTCTTTATTCAAAATACTGCCTCTAGTTCTCTGTTTTAAAAGTACTTCACCTTTATTTTCATGTTTCACTGTGGATTTTAAAGTCCACTGGTTTGACTATGTTTGTGCCTTTAAGGATTTTGACTGATTTAATCAGATCCCCTCTGTTCATAACTAAGATAATTCAGGTCATTCCTTTCCATTCCTCAGCACTATGCTTACCTTTTTAAATGTCTCTCCACATTGGCTAGAAGAAGTAAACACCTAAATATTTTTTCATATGTAATATCATCAAGTTCAGCATTAACAAGCTTATATTTATTGTTTGTGTACTTTATATTTTTCCTACCTCCTGTGTTATAACAATCTGCATTCTAATAAGTCTTGAATTTTAGCTACATCATTGTGTTTTTTGCAAGTTCTGTAGTGTTTGCTAAATCTCCTATTTCAGTATCCTTTACAAACTTGACTAGTTATACTTATAAGAGAGTCTAAAACATTGACGTAAATAAGGAAGAGCAGTGGTTTTAATAGAGATCTTTGTGGTACTCCATTAATACCACCAACCCAGTTTGACCAGTGCAATTGCAATTTGAGATTTAAATTTTATTAAAAATGTTACAAATGTTACAAATGCCTCCTAAAAATCTAAATACATGATAACATATGCATGCTGGTGCTTATTCCAAGAAAGTTTCTTGAATGACTTGTGGAAGAGTTTTGTTAATGGCCTATGCATAATACGCATATTATTTCCTTAATTGAAATTGTCAAAATATTATCAAGCCCTGAAGATTTGGAATCTAAAATTAACAGGCTAAAAACAGGCTTCATTACATTTATGGAAGTACTGTAAAGAATAAAAGCAATAAAGTTGTTTACAGTGGCACTGTGCACTAAACCCACATAAAACAATTATATATAGCATGCACAGTAATCCACTTAATTTTCTTTTAGATTTAGTTTTAGGGAACATTTTAGAAGCATTTTTGCTTCTGCAATTGCAAGTGGTCAAAACAATAAAAAAAACAAGAGAATGACTGTAATTGTAAGCAAAAGTTTCTAAAGAAGCTTGTTTTGCATATGAAGTGCATTCACATGAAGTCTTTTATTAAAATGATCTTTCCACAGCTGTGAATATGACTCACCTTTCACAGTCAGCCTTGCTGATGTTCTCACACTTTCTGCACAGAAGGTAACTGTGCCACTGTCCTCAAGAGTGAGGTTTGAAAAGGTGAGGCTGTGCACTCGTCCATGATTGCTGACTCGCCAGTGATTATTTGGTTTCAGTCGGATGCCATCTTTTTGCCACACTCCCTCCACATCCGTGTGAGAAAGCTCTACCTCAAAAGAGGCAGTCTCACGCTCGTATGTTTCAATGTCACTTAGTCCTTTGCGGATTGAAATATTCCTGGCTGTGAGGAAGAAATGATAAGGTCATTAATGTTGTATCACTTGGATGTGTAAGACTGAATTATTTAATTAGATTGCTACTTCAACCAGTACAGCCTTGAAAAACAGGTTTTTATCAAAAAGCAGGCATTCAGAATTCTGAAAGCGGAAGGTTGAATTACAGCAGTTTAACATAAGGGCTTTTGTACTCCACCTTTACTGCAAAGCAAATTTTCTATTACTTTGAGCCAAAAGAATTGGACAGAAGGCTTATGAAGCACCTTTTATGCAACCCTACTATATTAGCTGAAAGGGAATATTTGTAGTTGTTGCAGCACTGTTAGAAATTATTGGATCGCTATAAAAAAGATTGAGAAGGCTGAATATTATGATGTATGGCATTAGAATTAGAGTTCACAATCCAAGCAGGACCATTGTTTATGAGGGAGATTGAATTGGCACCTTTTTAGATATTGGTAGAACATTACACTGAAGGGTATTATTATCTATTGTAACTGGCATACCAGCATTTTCAACTCATTCTCACATAGACAGACACTCACGATGGAACAAGTCTGGTTTATTTTTGATACTTGATGACACCACCATAGATTCTGAAGGCCAGTGCATAAATTTAGCTGCAATGAAAAGAGATCCAAATTCACTTGAGATGCCAATAACAGTCAGAGAAGAGACATCCGCCCTCACTTTAAAAAAAATGGTCACGCTATCTAAAAAATACTACTAACTCATTCGTAATCACCTAGAAACAGTTATTAATTTCGAAGGAGGCTATTTTTTAATTACTATGGAAAAATATAACACAGGTCTTAAGAATACAATAGGGAAGTATGGTGGTTACAGATACTGTTTGATTTAAAAGGGACCTCTGAGCAGAGATTATAACATACAAGTAAATGCTTTAAGAACCCAGTTTATCCGTAAGACAAGTGTGGTCTCTCAGTTAAAGAACAGAATTAGTGATGAAAGTATTTTAAAGGTATTAGTGAATATTTCCAAGTTACATTAAGGAAGAACATATGCATTTGTTTGATTTTTTCAAGTATGATTTCTGTGCATGCTCTTTCATTTTAGAATTTGTTCGTCAGACCACTATACATATTGAGTGCTTCTCATAACAGAAAGAATGAAAGACATACAGGTGACTGTGATCGATAGCCAGCTTAATTATTGGCTGAATGGCAGCAGCTGTTGATCCTTGCATTTCTGATACCTGCCAGCTGTACTCCTACAATATTTAAACATGTGCTTCCTCTTAGCAGGTGTGTGAGGTACTGTAGCTGGCAACAGAGTAAGAACTACACAGCAAGGAGCACCAGAGGGAAAGCTGACAAATAAACCAACGGTCCTAGCTGCTGAGACAAAGGACTAGGGGGCTTATAGCAAGATATCAGCTTAGAGAGAAAGAACAAATGAACTGAAGATAAGTTGATGTGGACAGACAGAGACCAGACAATGAACCACAAAGGGCTGAGAGGAAGACAGCCAGGGAGCAGCTAGTGGCTGAAGAAATATCTGTTTTGTTCAATGAGTGAATTTAACCAGACTTTTCTTTTCTCTTTTTCATACAGAGTGCTGTGGTGGTTACACTGTGCACTGTATTTTGACCATCCTGTAACAGTGACCTTAAAAGAATAACCAATGTAACAGATGTCACTGTTTATCTGCATGTTCCATTTTGCCAATATGTCTTTGTTATGTCACAGTTCTGAATGATCTATAAATATGAAAACTTATCTTCATCCATGCATCAGATAATTATGTTGTGTGCTGGATTCTTGTATGAGTATGCAGGCTAGTTATTTTTATTTCCACTCTAGATTCTGAAAGGGAGTACATCTGTTAAAGTGTGTATGGACACTAAGGAATTTGATTGGATAAGCAGCCCACAAACTCTAATGAGATGAGATATCTAATGAGATGCACTTCCAAATAGGCTGGATTTTTTTCCTTAAAGTCAGCCAGTCAGCCAACATCACCAGCGCTGTCTTTAAGAAAACAGACTACAAGAAACAGAAATGAAAATACAGGAGGAGAGACAAGAGGAATTGAGTTACAGTATTACAGCCCATGTTCACAACTAGTTTCTTCCTTGATGAACAAAAACATATCAGGCAAGGAAAAGAGTTGTATTTTTCCTGCTTATGAAATTTAGGTTTCCATTTTAAATCCTCCAAATACTTGTTGTTTTGAGGATGCATGTTTCTTAGGTATTAACTCTCTGTTATAGCATCAGTTAAGAGGGTTGGCTTAGCAATGGAAGATGTTATTTTATGAAAGCAGTCTTATGTTCCCTTTATAAAGGTTTATGTCCACAGTACAGGATTGTCAGTTTTAGGGGTCTTATGGAGAAGGTCTGTAGCAAAGATATTTATAAGGCATTGTATAGATTTTGACTGCATACATCTTTGAAAAGCAAAATCAGATTTCTAAGCTTACAATTTGAGTTTATAACATGTATGCAATAATAGATCACGGGAGGAAGTGAAGATGTTCCACTCACAATCCACAATTAGCTTGCCCTGGGTTCGGTCATGTAGAGTCTCACAGCGGTAGGTGCCACGGTCGGAAAAGGAGAGGTTGTGCACAGTCAGGCTACGTTTCTTGCCATTCTGCGTCAGGGTAAATTTGGGTCCAGGCTGGATCACCACACCCTGTCTCATCCACTGGACCTCTCCAGAATCCAGACTCACTTCCACCTCCAGAGTGGCCTCACCATGTTCCTCAGCAATAACAGCTTCCATTTTCTTCGTGAACACCACCTGTGCCTCTAAGATAACACAGAAAGTATGAAAAATCCTTAAGGACAATTTAGATTTAGATCAACAATGAAACCCAATGACAAAAATCTAAAAGGGGTGTGATTTTGACAACTATTCTGACAACAGGAAGTCCTTATTTACACAAAGTGTTGTTGGACTCTAAAATAAGCTACTCAAAATAACTCTTGCTGGTCACTGTTGGTCACTTTGTCTAGGTTCCTCTGAACGAGTCTCCCATACTTATAAATCATGACAAGTGTTCTTAGGACACTACCACTTGTGACCGTCATCTTCCTGTGGTATCTATCATGGACAACGTTTAAAGAATTTAAACATTTCTAGATGGACTATTTTATCTCTCTTCAATGTAAGAACAAATTGTGTTTCTGTAAGAACAAACTAATAATCTAAGAACAAAAAGTGTCATGATACATAGTCCATAAGCCATCGGAAATAAAACCTTATTATATGCAATCTCTGGCATTCAAAACTAACAACATGTTAAATAAAACAGGTCTGTAATTGTCTGAGACTTCTATAAATAATCTGCAAACAGATTTAATCTCTGAAGTGTATTGTAAAGTATTGTAAGATCAGATGTACTTTCCTCCTGCTTTCCTGCCCAACAATGTCACTCTAGAAGAAACGCACCTTGCACCTTCAAGTTTGCTTTTGAAACTACTCCCTCGGCCTCAGCTGTCACCTTGCAACTGTCTGACAGCTGGCAGCTGAGGATGTGCAGTGTGTGGCACACTCCGTTGTTCGACACAACGTATTTATCATCTGGAATGATGGGCTCGCCGTTTCTGTGCCACACCAGCTCTGCATCCTCAGGTGACACAACACACTTAAACATGGCATCTTCTCCTTCCAGCACAGTGACACTGTGCACCTCTGCAATGAACTCCACTACACGTGGCACTGAAAGGGATTGGAAGAGAGAAAGGAACTCAATATAGCATTTCATTCAATTAAAGGTGACATTTGCAGAATGTATAAACCTCAGTGACAAGGCAAAGACAAGGCAGCAGTTGTAATATAGACATTAAGTGAACAGCTGAAACAAATAAAATGATTAAGAGTCCAGGATGAAATGAAAACCAGATGACATAGCAGCCCTACAGGTCCAGGAGTGAATATCAGTTAACAATATCTGCAGTTCCTTTCTTTCTCTACAGTTTAAACTTTCAACCATTTTAATACTCATTTTTCCTCAGCTCAGAAGGAATATATCCTGAATGCAATTTCATTCTGCTGCAGGGAATACAAATGGAGTGACAATGTAGAGAGAACCTTGCCAGTATGAGTCTGGAAATTAAGGGAAAAGTGGAACCCGTGGTTAAAATGGGGAAAACATGCAAACTCCACATAGAAGGGACTCTAGAATCGAACCCAGGACTTAAAATTAAGATATGTGAGACAGCACAGTCATTGGAGCTAGTCATTATTCTTGATTATGTTTTTTTCCCTTTTGTCTAAATAGGAATACCTATGCCTCCTTTTCTCCCTACCCTGAGATGTGGTTTCCTATTTGAAAACCTGTGGTGGTAATTCATTAATTTTCATTTTATTAGACTTTGTACAGAAATCTCTTTCTGTCTCAGATGCAGGCCATCCAATATATATTTCACTCTGAGTAATGGTGAGCTCAAGTCTACTTACTCTCTACCATGACTTTGGCACATGTTCTATCATCCTTGGATTCACAGACATATTCTCCAGAGTCATTTCCAGTGGCCCGGTAAATGGTCAGAGAGCGTTCACGGCCCTCTGCTTTAATGACTAGCCGGCGGCTAGGAATGATTTCCTGCCCATCTTTCAGCCACTGTACATCTCCCTTTGGCTTGCAGAGTTCACATCGCAGTGTGATTGTGTCATCCTTGTGAGCACAGACATCCTCCAGCATTCTTACAAAATTCAACTTCATCTCTGCACCACAGATTTAAAAAAAAGAAGAGTACATCAATGACTGCAAACTGTGTTACATACATAATCTTGGTTTTAAATGCATTGTACTGCACATGATTTCAAATTGCTCACTGTATACTAGTGCATTTTTCTCTGATAAAAAGGTTGCTTTGAAAAATGATGGCTTTTGGAATACTAACATTGTATAATTGTATCTCAGAAGTTTATATTTTCACCACACTTTTACTCTGCCAGTGGCCTTCTTGTTCATTCATCCAGCCATTCATTTTCAGTCTGCTTTTCCTGCAAAGGGTCACAGTGACTTTCTATTCAAGTTTACAACATTCTGAGAGACTAAATATATCTTTCTGAACACAAATGGAAGATACCTGAAGAGTGTTTGGACAGATCCACCACTTTTCATCTGAATACAAACCCAAGGGGTTATTCACTAGGAATAACAAAACTCAAGAATTAAGCATATTGAAGAGGTTAATTGAGTGTTTTAGTCAAGCGAAATTGGTTGAACCCTCTTGGCTGAGGACTAACCACCTGGCCACAGGACAAGGAGGCTAGGACCCCTGTATGGAGTAAGAAATGACCAAGGGTTAGCTGCAAAGCTGGAGATGGGATGGTGGAGGGATACAAAAGGCAAATGTAAGGCAGTGAAGGAGAAAAGGGGACATATGTATAGTATTTATAATTTAAAGTGAGGAAATTATGTCAGGAATTATAATGAATTACTGATAGCTGAAGTTAATTGAACTTAGCTGTTGTCGTCCCTTCCAAACTTTCATTATAAAAAATAATTTGACAATTTCTAAAACATTTTAAAAACTTATTTGCATTATGGTTAGTAGTCTATGCTCTGGTGACAGACTTTGAGATTTAATCATTGATTGGTGCTCTTGCTTTTGACATATTTGTAACTAGACTCATTTTGCTTCATTCGTTATGTCTTTTTAAGAGAAACAGGGAAAAATCCACAGTATGCGCCCGTACGAACCTTTCACACTGACAACGAATACCATCTCGTCATCATTTGAGACGCAGGTATACAGGCCACAGTCCTCCTTGCAAGTGTTCTTCACAATGAGGCTGTGAACTCGGCCTTCCACTCTGGCCTCGTACTTCTCAGCTTCGAAGATCTGGCAGCGGTGGCGGAACCACTTTACCTCGCTTTTCCCACTCGCCACTACTGCAGACATCACGGTATTCTGACCTTCCATGGAAAACACTTCCTCTGCCTTTTCCTGCTTGCGTTCAAACTTAACTGGAGCAGCTGAAGGGAAACAAGGTAGTGACGTGTGCCTGCTTGTTTTTTGTTTTCACTTTTGTTACTGGTCATTTGAACTTTTTTATGTATATGTAATAAAATTAATGTAGAGAAAGGTTTCATGTATATAAACATACGGAGATAAGCCTAGCAAATAACCCCCGTATTTGTTCATAATAACATGAGACAAAGATCTCATCTGTAGTTGGATCTATGCAGACACATTTGATACACTCAAATACATTCTGACTTTATTTTTAAAACTATGTTATCTGGAAAAGAAACAGTAAAATAGTTTTATAATACAAATGTGAATCCATTTTTGAGTTATATTTTGTATTGTCTTTCATTTTAACTCCACGTGCTGTTAAAAAAGGTATTCCTGAATGTCTATTTTAAATTATGTTGTCACCCACTGGTACAATATGACCTCATGTTTACTAGGACTCTGAGACAGGATGGGATTTTAAAACAGCCCTCAAATGTTTAAATACTGTAAATTCAGCGTAATGCCTTTTCTGACATGCAAAAACTGCTGTTTAATCAACAATCAACAATTTATCAAATGTATATGGTACTTTCTCACAATCAATCAAAAGGTAAAACGTTTAAGGACTGATTACCCTGTAGATGCATAATATCAATGTTCATATGCAGTATTATCATGTGATTGTAATATTCATATTTATTATTGATGCATTTTGTTTGGATAGATAGATACTTTATTGATCCCGTGAGGGAAATTGCAGAAATTTCCTACATTTTCCTACAATTTCCTTTCCTTTAATACAGTAACAAAATACAGCTATTTAGCTTTTGTTAATATAAAACATTACAAACAAACCTGTAACAGCTCTCAGCTCTTCACATGGTCTGATCTTTCTCAGCACCAGTGAATAGATTATGAGTACAGTAAAATGCAATTTAATGAAACCAACAAACTTAGGAAACTTCTGACAAAATCTGTGTTTGCCCAATGTCCAGCAAGCTTCCTTTTAAGGACTGCTCGGTAACAAGGGATTCAAGTCCATTGAGTTCTCTGTTACAGCCTATCCCCCTGGATGTCATCTAGATGCATCTTGGCTTCTTTCCTACGAAGGTCCAAGGTTCAATCTTGTCTTGTAAGGGTAGTGAGAGTGTTAATTTGAGCTTAACTCAGAAAGTAAAACTTGTAAGAGAGCTTGAATCTGGTGGATCCATTCAATGCACTTGAGAGCACTATGGTATGTACAGTATAAAGAAACTGTGTCTACTACAAATAGCAAAGTAAAGCTTTTTTCTTAATTGATGTGGGTGGATCTTTTGTTGATGCTAGAAAGCATATGAAAGTGGCAAGTGATAAACAATTGGAAGAGATAGTGCTTCCAATGCACATGTAATCACTTTTACTGCTATTTCATTACTGTTTTACAGTACTTTATATCTTTTGTAAAACTGAATTATTATTTCTACATTACATGTTATTCATATTGTTTTACCATATCTTGTATATCTTATTCCATGTGTTGCATTGCATTTTTAATGCAGTTTCCCTTCAGTATTGATTTCTTTTTATCATTGATACGATACATTTCTATGTTCAATGAAGGACACATATACATGTGTATGTATATACAGTATATGCAGTATGCTGTGATTTAACAGACACTTGCTATGAATGGACTGCATTGCTTCCCCTATTATTTTGTTAAATCAAGGGGTTACTGTATTGCATTTTACTGCTTATGAGTATTTACCTCCAATTTTCATTTTTAACAAAGGCAAAATTCTGAATTTACAAATTACAGCTTCACAAACTAAATGGCATTTTTAAAATCCTACCCTGTCCTGCTGAACACACCGTCATATTGTCAGCACAGACATTCTATTGGGCAGATTCAGAGGTGCAAAACCAAAAATGTTCAACAAACCCTTTAAGTAGGGACACCTGGTCCTTGTGCCCACCCTTAGTATATGATTTCTAAAACAGCTCTGTAAATATTCATAAATGTATTCCAAAAGCTAAATAAATATACTTAAATAAAACATTTTAAAATATTTTAAATCAAAAGCTACAGATATTTAAACTCTGTTTCATTTCGAAGTGTAATATTTAGAATGTCTTCATCAATAGGCAACTTTTTCTTTCCCTTAACACGTGGCTTCTCAGTGTTGTCTGATTTTAGAGTTCTGTCCACCACATTCAGTACTCACACGCTATAATTAAGTCCCACACACTTCACCATTTCCAAAAATTATCTGCAATGGAAAAATGATTTTGGCTGGCTTTTTTCAATTTTGCAACTGCACGTCGATGGATTACATTTCTTGTATTTTTGAGATTACTGGTAAATCTTCCAAAAGAACACATCTAGCCTTACATTTTAATTACAAACATCAGTTTTCCTACCAGTTTTGACACCCTACCACCACAACCAGAACAATGATGCAATACTTCTGCAGACATGCTTTTGTCTTCTTTGCTCTCACCTTTGACCTGAAGAGTAAAGTGCATTTCATCAGTAAAGGCATCACAGGTATACACCCCACTGTCTGATATCTGTGCATGATGGATACTGAAAAGACGGCATTTCCCATCACTGCTGGTATTGTAACGCTCCCCACTGATGTCTCTCCAGTTTTTCAACCACTGCACGACTGCATTCTCCAGTGACACTTTGGCACACAGTGTTATACTTTCGTTCTCCACAACTTCTATCGAATCCTTGGCATCCTCTTTGTTCACAAATTTAATGGGTGGTTCTTTAAAGAAATACAAACATGCATGCATTATAATATAACACAATAACATAGAATGGTTTGTCCTAAGATCCTGTACTTAATCTCTACATGTTATTCATTATGCAATTTAGTGTACAAATATCCAGATGAAAATAATTATTTATTAATACAGTATGTCTTTGTTTTAATGTCATCCACATTATGAGCATATTGTTATGAAGTGAGGAATGGTGTTTTAGTGAATTCTACATATTGTCAATTTGGCCTTTATCTGACTGCATATTTTACCTTTAACCTTAATACCTTTTACCTACTGTAAATAGTAAAGTAAAATAATATTATTGTGTCCAGTAGTAATATGCATTATGTCACATTGTAGATCATTAGTTCTTTTCAAATGTTGGGTTGAAATTTTAAGATATTACTTTAGACAATTTTAGAGATGAAAGGCACACCAGTGTGCAGATGACACAAAAACTTATTTTGGGGAAACTTTGAATTCTTCAGAAATGTTGTATTTAGTTTTAGGCTCATGTGGTTCAAATACTCTGCCTTGGGAAACTTAATAAATAATAAAAAAGGTTTTAAATTCATAGTTAATTTGTTCAATATATTTGAAATTATTGTGTAACCTTACAGTATGTCTTCCTTTGAAAGTTGGAATCTGTACAAGGATGACCAGATCTCGAGTAATAACTAAGATGGATATGACGTATGATATCATGTTATCATATGATCCCTTAAATTATATTGATAATTAAGTATTGTTCACATATCACCGTCATCTACTGTGCTGTATATACAGTATGTTAAGAATAAATAAGAATAAATCTTGCAATCTCCTGAAATTATTTACAACTTGCCACAAATTGTTCTAGACAACGTGAGGAAGTAATTACAGTAGGTGTTAAAATTTTGGGATATACAATTAACAGCGTAGAATTCAAATCAATGGATGTTATTCTAAACTTGTATAATGCACTAAATAAGGCCTCATTTTTAATATTTGGGCATTACATTACAGAAAAGATATTGCTACTCTGGAATCCATCCAGAGAAGAGCAACCAGATACCTCCCAGGGCTTAAAGGAATGCTCTACACTGACAGGCTGAAGGAACCAAACCCTTTCATCCTTGAACAAAGAAGACTATTAGGGAGTTCATATGATATTTAAAATCCTCAAGGGCATTGAGGGCATATTGTCAAACCACTACATTTAAAACTGAGAACATGGATGTACTTAATAATACATAAGGACGTACTTATTTTCCCAAAGAGTTTTTGGAGTATGGAAAAAGGCTAATCGACAATATAGTATTACAGTATATATAAAAACAAAAAATGATAGTGGGGTTTCCTTCAAGAAATATCTTGGTAAGATCATTGGATCAACTACCTACTAACTACTATATTGGCTATAAAAGGCAAATGGCCTATTCTCATTCACAGTTGCTCTTATGTTCATTTACCTTGAACTGTTACCATGGTCACCATTTTGTCATCAGTAGCATCACAGATATATTTCCCAGTGTCTGATATCTGGAGGTCTGAAATAACAAGCTGTCTCTTTGTGCCCTGGCTGTCAATCCGAGTCCGATAGTCAGCACTCAGGAGCTTCCCATTGCAGTACCACAGAACTACGGCATTGGGCCGGGACACTTCACACATTAAAACCAGGTCATCTCCTGCTATTAGACTGTGGTGCTCCGGGTTATCAGAGTTGCCCACAATGGATACTGGTGGCTCTAGAGAAGGAGATATTATAATACAGTATGCCACAGATTTTCACATTGTTTACATAATAGTCTTAGAGTATCATAACTATAGCCATTATCTGAAGGCTTACTTTGAAAAAATGGCTATAAGAAGACAAGAAATGTAAGTTTTAATGTTAGAGAATGCTGAATATTTCCTACCAACTGCATAGGTACATTATGTTTGAAGTGAAAAAAAGTTATTATTGGCCATTCTGCCTTCAGTAATGTCTGACACAGCACATTTTGATGCTGACACAGCAGACAGCTGTGGTAGTATTTCAACGTTGAAATTCTAACTCAGAAAATTACTCCTACAAGTAGTTGCTTCTACTGTTATTGGAGGAGATTAAGGACTTTTTTTAAGCATGTAATTATGTAAAAATGTTTTCCAAATACCAAAGAATATATAATAAATTAAGCTTGAAACTCTGAAGAAGACCTAGGTTATAACAAGGTAAAAATACTTCACCCTTTTTTTTACCTTTCACAATGACATGGAAGACAACATTGTCATCTCGGGCATCACAAAAGTATTCTCCTGAATCTGAAATCTCTGCATTCAGGATGACCAGTGAACGAAAAGCTCCCTCTTCTTCCATGCAGAGTCGGTCATTGTCTGCTATTTTTTCTCCGTCTTTATACCACTTTACACTCCCATTGGCTCGAGAGAGCTCGCACTCTAGAACAATATCATCTGACACCAGGAACTCCTGCTGCATTTTCAGTTCTCCTTTCCTTAATATTTTCACTGATGGCTCTGAATAAGAAATGAAGAAAATTAAATTTCTGGAAAAAATATCAATACTATATATTTCAACGTCTCTAATTTCAAATAAAGAATCAATGTGTTTTTAATTAATCTTTCTGGGATTAACAAAATACATATATTCAAGAGTTTTAACCTTGGTTTCAATTCCTAACAAATCACCAACAAACTGATAAAAGTAGTTTGGAAGCAATTGGTAATTTGCTTCTGATTATTACAATTTTACTTTAAGAATTCATTTGAAATCTGATTCAGACTCTTCATCACTGTAGCAACAAGACTTATTTATGAAATACAGTAGATTAAATGCATAGAGCTTTGAAAACTAAAATTGTAAAATCATCCAAGGCTAACTTTAATTTACAACTGCAAATGAAATTACTGGTAAATGAGAGTGTATATACAGTATCACAAATAGTGGCTACACTTAAATTAAACTCAATATTTTGCAGTCTCACAAGTTTTGATGTTCTGCTTATAAATGAAGCATACTCTTTGGCCAATTGTAACAGAAATAGCTGCTTTATGCTTCATGAAGAACGAAAAAAATAGAAGAAAACCTTGAATGCCTCCACTTCTATCATTAATTGCACATAGACTGCTACTTAATCATTTAAAACAAAATCTGTTTCAGTTGTTAATGTGTGTGGCCAAGAGAACATCAATGTGAATTTCAGAATTCAGGACTGGCTTCTCACAGCATAAGTAATATCTAACAGAACACCTCTTCAGGGAATCACATGATTCCCCCTAAAGTTTACCTTCCAAGATCCTTCATCCAGCTAGCTTAACCTCTCCACTTTGATTAGAGTTGAATTTAGAGAATAAATGTAATTACTGCTTGAAATTGAAAACATTTAAATTTCCAGATATCCCAGGATTTATTAGGGTATTTCTGGTTTTAAAATACATCCAATAAGTACTTATTTGAATTGTACTCTTAAGTAACTTCTCTAAGCAACTTTTAGTTGTGTGCTGCATGTGATTGTTCTTTTTTGTGTAATGGTTAACATGAGAACAGCGCTTCTTTTTCAGTGAATTGTACTAAATAAAATATGCATCTGAAATATCACAAATATATAATTTAATTAGCCTACTTTAATCAATGCTTTACAATAGTGGAACATAAGTTCACTAAGACTGCTATGCAGGTAGCTATGCTATTTACAATGGCATTGGACATTCAACCCCAATGCTTCACAGGCGTATAAAGATATATAATATAATGTCACACATCCTACTCGATGTGTACAAGGTTTTGCTTTCTTTGGGTTGACAACTTCAAAAGGACAAAGAAGTGTTTTCACTAAATTACCAAAGTACATGATTAATCATCTTTTGGTGAACGCAATTTTATCATGTATATCATGTTGCACATCCCACCAGATTTCAAACCTCTACAACATGCACTTTCAGAGAATAATAATTTTCATAATTTCTTATTTACATTTTAACACAACAGAGTATAGAGTTTTTTAAGATAAATTGCAGTCTAACATAATTGGCTTTGAAATGCTGCTAAATTTCATGACTTTTCATACAAGAGTTTGGATTTCATGCACATTTCAGAAAAAAGGTAGAAGAAAAAAGAAAAGTCTAAATGATTAAAATGGAGTTTCAGCAACTTTTGTGCTGGGTCCCCTAATAAGAATGGTGGCAATTCAAAATGAAAGCATGAGATTTTAAGAAACTGTTTGCAATTTAGAAAAAGTACTGTATGTGACTATGCTATGGTATTTTGTTCTTTTAACACTTTTGGGCACCGATGAGAGCTGAGAAAATACATTCTATAAACGAATCCATTAATTAATCCATTAATCTTTGTCTCACTACACTTATGAAGGTCTGTCGTAAACTTTTTCCATGCAACATAGACATTTATACATAGATTTTAGATGTATGTCGCTATATTATTATAATACACTGCTCCAGGAAACAACACCCCAGTACTTCATCATGCTTAGCAGAATGTTTTTCCTCGGACCCTCTTTTAGTTTGTAGCCCCTCTACAATTACACCATGATACCATAGAGCTTTCAAAAACAAAATTTCCCCTTCGTGATGCCATCAGCTCATTACACCTGATTTTTTCATATTGTTAAATACGGTTACATTCTTAATGGTGTTGTTGGGACTAATTTAGCATTTCTGTAAAACATTTAGTAAATGTATGAAGCACTTTGGCATTTCAGAAAATTTGATTTTTTTGTTAAAACAATTAACGTTAGATTAATACATCAATTATTATTCATTCATTTTAATACTGCAAAGAATTAAAAAAAGTTGTTTAAATGCTAAACTTACCTTTTCATAAATCAAGATGTAATGAAATGTAAGTATTCTCAATTGCAGTTAATGTACAGTATTTTAAAAAATGTTTATGTTTCCTGCTTCTCTGAGTTAAGCTTTTAGCAAAGCAGGGAGTTAAAGTTAAACTGTAGGAAGGGTTGATAAAATCTAATCAAATGATCTGATGAGCTGAAAGCATGTTCTGGTAGATACTACTTTGTGCTGCTCCATATCTCACCATTGATTTTAACTTTGAAGTTCATCACATCTTCCTTGGCATCACAGATATAATTTCCTGCGTCCTCTAGACTGGCAGAGTGTATAATTATTTGACGGAGGACACCATCCTCAATGATACTGATGCCTCTGCTTTCTTCGATCTCCACTCCTTCCTTCTTCCAGCACACCACAGCATTTGAGCGGGAAACCTCACACTCAAGTGTCACTGGCTCCCCAACAAAGCCTTTCATGGTACCAGCAGCTTTTTGTGGATGCACAAACTTCACAGGAGGTTCTACACATAAAAAGTCACAATTATTAGCTGAATCACAAACTTTAAAACACTCCACAGTTAACTTTAAAATTCTATGACACTAAAAAAACATAAATAAAACACATCTTAAGTTAATGCAAAGTACAGCACATTATTCCTTCATGTACAGTACTTATCACATATTGTAGAATTTATCTCAATAAAAACTCATCATAAGTCCATGTGTATCACAAAGTTGTAAATATATGTATAGTATATGTTGTTTTAGCTTTCACTCAAAAGACAAAAAGGGAAACTTTTATTGAAAGAGGCTGTACATAAAATTCCATCTTATTTTAAAACCCTAGGTGAGCTTTCCCCATTAACTCACATAACTTTATTAGGTATTGGAAAAATACTGGAAATAGAAGGTCAAAATAAAGTACCTGCGATCTTCACAAGAAAAGTTATTGAATCATCAACAGAATCACAAACATATTCAGCAGAGTCTAGGATAGTAGTCTTGGGGATGATGAGTCTCCTGTGGACTCCCTCAGTTTCTATAATCAGGTTGTCGTTCTCTTCTACCTCGAGTCCATCTCGGTACCAGCGTACTATTGCATTAGGTCTGGAAACCTCACAGCTCAACACCAGTCTCTCACATGTGCGATGATTTAATTCCAGGGGAGACTGGCTCGGAGACACTATATGGACCGCAGGTTCTAAAAGGGAGATGCATTTAATAAGTCATCGAGGAGTCAATCCAAATTTTCAGAACACAAATTTAAAAGGTAACTTTTGTAGAAATTTCAATAATGAGATGAACAGAAGTGGCAGAGAAGGTTAATTTAAATACAAAATACTCATTTTTTAATGAAAGAATATAGCAACACTTTGGAAACATCAATTATCTTATCAGTATGATTCAATTCAATTAAATCTTGATGTGAACCAGAGTCTTGTTCAAGGAGATCGAAATGAATATGAGTCAATAACAGGCTGACACTAAAATATGCCAGCTAAAATCAATGAATAGTTTAGCTTTGATTAAGCTACTTTCAATATGAAACATTCTACACATGGAACACATTTTCAGCCAGCAAACCACTTTTTTTAAAATGTCAAGAATAATAAGTTCAAACTTAATCTCATTTTAAATCAACAGACACGTGAAACTAAACAATATTTGGAAATCACAAAGAGTCCATTATCAAGAACATGATATTTATCTCTACAGGCCATTACATACCTGTTACAGTGACCTGAAAGAAAATGGAATCATCTGCAGTATCACAGACATATTCTCCTGTATCCTCAGTGGAACTATTAAGGATAACTAATCTTCTATAAGGCCCTTCAGACTTAAATTTGATATTCTGTGTCTCCTGGAGTTCCTGACCATCTTTGTACCAATGCACTGTGCTATTGGAGCGTGAAAGCTCACAACTTAGGACTATTTCTTCTGAAACATGTCGCTCGAGATGCACATCCTCCCTTGGATGAACTATAGTCACTGGTGGTTCTACAACAGGAATAACATGTGATTAGGAAAAATATATCACAATCAAAAAAAATGTTTGACATGGTATCAAATGCTAAGCCTAAAATAATTGATTTCAAGAAGATAAGAAAACAGATGCAAGGAGTAAGAGTCTTTTGATAATAATTTAAATCAAAATACATTTCACAAAACTTTATGCATTATTTAGATTTTCTCTGAGAGTTACATTTTACTTTTCTTTATTCTAGTAACTAGGTATTGCACTTGTTTTCTGTAAGACTTATGAAAAATAAAGTTTCTGAAACAAGATAAACATACCTCGTACATTAACCTTGAAAATTAGTGCACTGTCTCCTGCACGGCAAGTGTACATGCCAGAGTCTGATAGGTTGGTTGACTGGATTATAAGACGCCTCATGGTTCCATCAGATTGCACAGAAATGTTGTCACTTGGTTTGATTTCAACTCCATCCTTATACCAATGTACATCAACATCAGGTCTTGAGAGTTCACAGTACAGAACAACAGGTTCGGATTCAGCAACACTTTTGTGAAGATCTTCCTCATGGACTTCTATGAACTTGACAGGAGGGGCTGGAGATAAACAGACATAGCTCTACAGTTATTTGTCTAGAAATACTTTGAAGTGCAATCTTTGCTCTATCTAAATGGCGTAAATCATTTTTAATGCATGCATAAACTAGAAGCTGTAAACTAATAAGAATGATTGCTTAAAACACTGTCACCACTGTAGAAGCAAAGGTACATTTTGGTTAATAAAAGCTATGAAATGATTAAATGCTGTTAGCCTAGAAGAAGAGGAGGAAGAGTAAGAGGAAGAGTAAGAAGAAAAGCATGCTTTTTTCTGAAGAGGTTTCCTGTGTTTATCTGTTTTTAGCCTGTGAAAAGTATTAAGATATCTGATGAATGGAATATTGTCAACACGTACTTAGGCAAAAGGTACACACAAGACAAAGAGACATTACGAGCTAGCCTTAGCAAAAAGAAACACATACAGTAATACAGAAACACATCTGTACATACAGAGACAGATATTAGGATAAGGGTTAAATAGCTCAGAAAAGCACAACTGAAGGAATCCATCCTTTGTCCATTTTAAGAGCAGGAGTATTTTGATCAAACAAATGAAATTAGAAATTTGATGAATTTGTTAGCTGTCCTTTGAAGGGAATTAGCGGAAAACAAGGTTCTTCTCGGACGTTTTGCATGTCACCTTTAACATCCACATAAAATTCTCTGACATCATCAGCAGTTTTACAGCTGTACACCCCACAGCGGGAGAACTGAGCTGATTGGATGACCAGTCTCCTCAAGTTGCCCTCTGATTGGATGTCTATGCCACTGTGTGGGAGAAGCTTTGTTCCATCTTTGTACCAGCTGACTTGGGCAGTAGGGTCTGAGAGCTCGCAGTGCAGCACAATTGGACAGCCTGCTTCAATGGACTTGTGCATCTCAGCTTCAGGAAGAGCTGTGAACTTCACTGGTGGAGCTTTGGGTATTTTCATTTGTTTAAAGAAAAAAGATTTAAGAAATGGTTTCACATCATCATCTGTATATCATTTACAGAATACAAACAATATAAATTTGTTTTCTTTAGGGCAATATAATTTGATCGTATTTAAGTTAAAACCAACAATTGTGAAGATGGATTAGAATATTGCATTTGAGGTTTGTGTTGGTGAGTTGCAGACATAGACACTAAAAGACATACTCTAACAGAGTGAAGGTTTTCAATTTTTTGTTAATTTCTCAGTTTATACAGTATATATATAGCATTCATCGTGCTTACTTCATTTTAAAAGATTGCTTTGTGAATGGTAATGCATTATTTGGTTACCCAAGAGACTGCTGCCCTAGGGATGTTTAAGATATGCATTTCCTGTTACAAATTACACAATTTTAAAAACACAATTTTATCATAATTTAATTCTTAATATGTGTGCTGATGCCTTCAATACTGATCCTTCTCATAATTATTTCATTCAAATGTAAAGAGCTGTTTTTGCCATGCATTTTCAAGGGCTTTAGGGACTGCAAGTTCAAACAATAAGAATATTTGAGTCTGTAGTGATAATGGAAGAGATTATTATTATGATGCTTCTTCTAAATTATCTCACAAAGCATATTTAATTATTTGTTACAATTCAAGGTTGATGGAAAAATAAGGTGTTTTAGTGGATGAAGCAATACCCAATAACTCACAGAAGTATTTAGTAGTTTGGATGGAAATTATCTTTAAAATCACCTTCAACATCCACCTTGAATTTGATAACATCTTCAACAGCATCACAGCTGTAAACCCCAGAGTGGGCCAGATCTGCTGATTGGATAATCATTCTCCTTGTGGTGCCCTCTGATTGGATGTTTATGCCACTCTGTGGGAGGAGCTTTGTTCCATCCTTGTACCAGCAAACCTGGGCAGTGGGGTCTGACACCTCACAGTGCAGCACAATGGGGCAGCCTGCTTCAGTGGACTTATCCCTCTCAGACTCAGGAAGAGTTGTAAACCTCACTGGTGAAGCTACAGGTGTTTATTTTTTAAAAAGAAAAACATTTCAATGTGTTTAATCTCTTGGATTTTAAACTATTTCAAGTTTAAACCTTTGTAGATAGCACTTAGTGCATTTTTTGTAGCTGATTTAATTACTAAAAGCAAAAACATATACTTTAAAAGCATTATGTGTTTCGTACTTAAAAGTTTGTATTATATATATGTATAATGTTAGTGCAAACTGTATCAACCTAAAGCAAAGTAACTCAGCATAGAAATATTATAAACAGTTATTTTTTAAAAAAGAATGTAACTAAGTATAAAGAAGGTTCTTGTATCTTACTATTTTTTTAAATATCAAACAAAGAGATAGTGAAATATAATTCTTCCTACAGTAAGCAGTTATACTGACTTTTTACAGTTGGTAAAAATCTCAGTATATTTTAACATATGAAATAACCCACACCTTAATCAATTTAGTCATTAATCCTACATTACAGGATTAAATAACTTAATGTTCATTTATATTATTGGTGGAGCGTAAAAGAATACCTATCCAAAATGATTTCCTGTGTAGAATACAATATTGTTTTTGAGACTGGCTTCTTTTCGTTTTTTATTTAGTTTTTGAAGGAGGTGACAAGAAATGCAAGAGCTATTCATGTTCTAAGTTTGTTTGTTACAGCTGAAAATACCTCCTTTAACAATTGAAATAGGATGAATGGAGTTTTATGCGTATATTGTATAATTAGCTCAACTATTGGTGCCCTTTGGAACAAGCATCCACTTTCACACATCTTCTGGAGTTCTGAGGAGTTATGATGCAATTTATAATCAAGAGTTCTTTCTATTAAGAGATTCACCATCTCTAATGGGAAGAGACTGGTGTTATGTTTAAGGTGTTAGGATTTTTGCACCTATGCAGTTTTCACTGATCAAATGTTACTATTCAAGACTGAACAGTATCTGGATAATGTATTTAGTATCACACAGAATTTGTTAGTGGCTAAGATTTTAAAAAGTATTTTGAAAATCACCTTTAACATCCACATTAAAATGTATGACATCATCAATGGAATTACAGCTGTACACCCCAGAGTGGGCCATCTCTGCTGACTGAACGATCAATTTCCTCATGCAGCCCTCTGATTGGATGTCTATGCCATCCTGTGGGTGAAGCTCTGATCCATCCTTGTACCAGCAGACCTGGGCAGTAGGGTCTGAGATTTCACAATACAATGTAACAGGGCAGCCTGCTTCAATGGACTTGTTCCTCTCAACTCCATCAAGATCTCTGAACCTCACTGGTGGAGCTATGGGTATAGTAAAAGAAATATGTTGCAGGGCAATTAATGGTAAGCTACCGTATATCAATTTGAAGAAAACATTTACTGTATATCGCAAGAGCTTATTTTAAAATAAAGTAAGCAAAATACTATGAGTATGGTGTAATAAAGTTTTTTAGGTTCATTTACATAAAATGAAACTTGTTTCACATTACTATATGTTATTTAGGAAAGCATTGCAAACTTCCTTTAAAACATGAGATCTTAAGGAGGATTAATCATTTGAATAGAATTCTATACTTAATGTCTATATACAGTAAAAGACTTAAAATGCTGTACATATCTCTGGCCATATTGTACTGTATATTACATTTAATGACTAACATTAAGCAGAACTATGTTAAAGAACATTACAATTTCATATTAGAAAATCTTGTTAGTAATTTGGACATACATTATAGTATGCTACAAATCACCTTTAACATCCACTGTGAATTTCATGACATCATCAACAGTGCTGCAGCTGTACACCCCAGAATGTGATAGGCTTGCTGATTGGATGACCAGTCTCCTCACACTGCTCTCTGATTGGATTTCTATGCCACTCTGTGGGAGGAGCTTTGTTCCATCTTTGTACCAGCAGACCTGGGCAGTGGGGTCTGATACCTCACAGTGCAGCACAATGGGGCAGCCTGCTTCAGTGGACTTATTCCTCTCAGACTCAGGAAGAGCTGTGAACCTCACTGGTGGAGCTACAGA